TTTGGCTGAAATAATCAAGATCCACAAAACTTCTGATGTTGGTGAGTTTAAACACAATTCAGAGCCAGGATGGAAAAAAGATTAATTATTGGTTAGGAAACGTTGTAGTTTAATTTCACACAGCAGAACTAAATGGCAACAAAATGTTTAAAAGTTTTATCGGAACCGGTTTGAAACAGAATCTAATTCAATATGGCGGCTTGGAGAGCATTTTATAGCAAAAACAAGGGAATTTCTGAGTTTGAATAGTTTAATATTTCCTTTGTTTTTTCTAGAAAATTTCTAATTATTCTAAATTTTTAAAATATTTTTAAATATTTACATACTTTTAATATCTCTTTATTGTAAAAATAAAATCTTGCATCACATAATAAAGCAATAGCATAGAATAGTTACATTTTGGCAAATACAGATGATAAGCAATATAAAATTGCTGAAACATACTTAACTGTGATATTGTAGGTAATTTGAATATGAAATATAATTACTTATAACATCTAAACTAAACGTCTGTGGCGTATTTTCTGCTGGCGCCGCTGCTGAGGTGAACTCTGTGTCTTCATGTGTCCAAGTAGTTCCCTTCAGAGAAACCCCGTCCTATACCAAGCGCCGCCGGGTCGGCGCCACCAGAACCGCGGCCGGGAACGGCCTGTCGTCTCCTCGCTCTCTGATTCGCTCCGCCAGCGACAACGCCCTGGAAAGCCCCGCCTCCTCGCCCGGCCCCTCCCTCCAGAGCCTGGAGACGCATCACGACTCGCACACTCACTCCCTGAGACGCCACCCGCGCCGCCTCAGGTACGCCCCGCTGCACCCGCACCGCGCTGCGGTCCGACCGCCGCCTCTCACTGGTGTGTCGCCCCGCAGCCCCGGTGGGGGGGGCCACACGGAGACCAGCCCGCCCTCCTCGCCCCCCCACACGCCGCAGATGAGGAAGAGGAGGCTCTACAGCGCCGTGCCAGGGCGCACCTTCATCGCCACGCGGTCCCACGTCCCCCAAGGGCCCGGAGAGATCCAGCTGCACAGGGGCGAGCGGGTCAAAGGTCAGTGGCAGACAAAGTGCTCAACTCTAGTACTTGAGTACAAAACACTTCCAGGAACTTTGTAGCTGACGGCCATCTTGGTAGGAACTGTAACCGACTGTCTTGGCATCAGTCAATGATCTCAAAACAACAATTTTATCATTGATCAGAAAAACTTCTGGGACAATTTATCATCCAGCAGAATTTGTTCTTGTGAAAGTTTTGAGTACTTGACCCACATCTGTGTGATACTCTATAACTATCAGGGCTATTTGCTGAGGCACCTACTGCCAAACTAGGACAATTAGCTTAGCTAATGTAGCTTTTTATTGTAGCCTTCGTGTTTGTTAGCTCATGTTCTCACTCTGAGAGTTAATGTCTCATTTTTCCCCTGAAGAGTTTTTACATCCTTCATAAATCCATTTAACACTGATTGGTGTAGCAACTTCCTGTTCGCTAAGTAGTGAAATGTAGCGGAAGTTTCCAACAAGTAAATACTAAAGTTACTCAGTTACGGCCTGGGCCGGTTCTGACCCGGTTTGTGTCTGCAGTGCTGTCTGTTGGCGAAGGAGGTTTCTGGGAGGGAACGGTGAAGGGCAGAACCGGCTGGTTTCCTGCCGACTGCGTGGAGGAAGTCCAGATGAGACAATACGACCCGCGACTGGGTAACGACCCATTGACCCCAGACCTCTCCCATCTCCTTCCCAGCAGCCTCCAACATGTAATGTCTGTTTCAGAGACGAGAGAGGACCGAACGAAGCGGCTCTTCAGACACTACACCGTGGGCTCCTACGACAACTACACCTCCTACAGGTGAGACTTGGGAACTGCACGTTTTCGTCAGTGGTGAAAACATAAATATTGACTAATTAGTCTTTTCCAACTCAGACCTAGCACATTTTTGACCGTCAGTCAAAGCCTGCTGAGTGGTTCTGTGGAGCATTTCTGAGCAGTCAGTATGTTCCCTGATTTCCATCTTAGTGATGATGATTGTTCTGGTCAGAACCTAAAGTTCAAACCAACTTAAGTCTAAACTTTAGTTTTCTGAGTAAGCAGGACAGCTTCCTCAGAAAACCAGATGTATCAATGGTTTCTGATCATTAGCATCAACCCTAACAGGGAAGATACTGCCTGCTTTTAAATACTCTACATAAAGATATAATTATTTACTAGTAAATATATGCCTATAAATATATATGAAATTAAAATGGAAGAACAAAGTGATGTTTGAAGTTGAGGCAATCATTTATTTACTGGACACTAATCTGAATTACCGAATAATCTCAGTTGTTTTCTCCAATCTGCATCTGGTTCCAGTGACTACGTGATAGAGGAGAAGACAGCCGTGCTGCAGAAGAGAGAAAGCGAAGGATTTGGCTTCGTCCTGCGAGGAGCTAAAGGTAGAAATGGAGGATTGGTGGGTGTTTGGACGGAGAAACCAACAAAGATATTTTAATCTGAAACCAAGAGAGGAGAACTCCTCGCTGTGTTGTTGCATAACAGCCACAGAGCCGTGATCACATGGCAGAACTGGTTTCCAGTCAATGCTGCAAAGCTGTTGATTAGCTGATAAATGATTGCATAAACATCCAACAACTGCTGATTAAACTCCTTCAGTTAATACTGAAGTTACAAAAACAGCAACAGGAAGAATATTGCAGCCCTGGTGTTTTAAATTTAGTCGTTTCCAGATCATTGCTTAATCAAACAAACTTCCTGTTTTTTGGTGGTTGAACTGCAGTATCAGAGTCTGTGTAGATGCGTGGAGAAGCGCTATGGGGGGATTTTTCTGCCATAACATTTTCAGTTTAAAATCAAGACTCCAGAACTTTCTTCTCAAAATTTCTCACGCTCATGTTTAGACGCTCTGCTCGCTTACGAAACATGGAACCATCCAGTCGCCTGGCAATCTCTCAGCCAATAGAATGAGAGTGTTGTACTGGGTGTGTTTGTTTCCTTCCAGCAGGTGTGTTTGTGTGGCTACTATCGATTTTAGCAACCAAAAGGCGGTTCCAAAAGCAAGCAGAAACCAAGTGCAAACGTGAGAAGTTTTGAGAAGAAAGACATAAAATCCTGTTTTCAGGCTGAAAATTGTCTTGGATTATGACAGAAAAATTCCTCTATAAAACTGCAATTTAATCAGCAAAAACCAGGAAGTGCATTTTATATTTACCCTGACCTTTGACCCTTATCCAGCTGAGACACCCATCGAGGAGTTTGCTCCCACGCCGGCGTTTCCTGCTCTCCAGTACCTAGAGTCGGTGGATCAGGGGGGCGTGGCCTGGAGGGCGGGGCTACGAACCGGAGACTTCCTGATAGAGGTGAGAAGTCACTGATTCGCCAGTCGAATTTAAACAGTTCCTCAGACTGACCTCTGACCTCTCTGTGTGAAGGTGAACGGCAGCGACGTGGTGAAGGTGGGTCACCGCCAGGTCGTCTCTCTGATCCGACAGGGAGGAAGTCGCCTGCTGATGAAGGTCGTCTCGGTTTCCAGGAAGTCAGAAACAAACCTGATCAGGAAGAAAGGTGCAGCTGATGATGCGTCGCTTTTCAGCAACAACGTTCACTTGTTCTGTAAAATGTTTGTAAATGTTTGCAGGTGGTTTTATGCTGCAGAAACAGATTAAAGATGTAATTCCTGAAGTTATTCAACTCAGACAGCAGAGTTTTGCTTTTTTAACCTTCTGCATAAAATTAATCGACTGAATTTGACATTAGAGGTTCGTCTTAAAGGTGCAGTTCAGATTTTAAGATGAAGCCAACATGATTTATCCAACAGTTAAATTTGTCACTTTTACACGACTTCGTTTGTTGCCGTTTCCTGAACCAACAATAACTACCGATGTGTTTTCTAAACCTCTCACAACCAGCAAATAATTATCAGAAACTATGAAATAAAACACAAAGATTCAAGAAAAATGCTTAAATTGTTCAGTCTGGGAGCATTTAGGTAAACTTGCATTGTTAATATATTAGGATTGTAATACTATCTTTTTAAATGTTAAGAAATGATTCACTTAAAACTTACTGAAACGCTACATGTATGTTGGTTTTATTTTTTTTACTAAGATCAAGACAAAAATACATTGTGTGATTTTATATTTTGCAGTTACACATTTACTGAAAGCAACAATAATGAATAAAAACACTATAAAGTGACAGTTTCACAGTTAAAAGTAATAGAAAATGGATTCAAAGGCAATTAATGAAAAACGAGTTTTTATACGAGTTTTGAATAAAGTAATTCAATCTGTTGGTTCTCCACCTTAAAATAAAACTACCTTAGAACTAAATAAAATATCTAACATAATATTTAACAGTAATTTCTGTCAGGACATAAAACCCGTTTGGACTTAAGGACAGTTAAAGTTCAGCTTCGTTGAACCAATTCATAGTAACTTCCTGTTTCCTACCTCTTAGCTCCGCCCCCTCCGAAGCGAGCCCCTAGCACGTCGCTGACGCTGCGGTCCAAGTCCATGACGGCCGACCTGGAGGAGATCGGTAAGAAACTCAGAGTTAAAAACAAACACAGAGTTTATTTAAACCAGAGTTTAAAACCAACTCAGAGTTAAAAACACACTGATCAGTTTGTGGTTATTTTACTGCTGACGTTGCTCTGTCTGCAGCCAGGAGGCGCCGTTACGGTGAGTCACTTGGACCTTAGTGTGATTCTGGTCAGGTTCTGTGTCTTAATGTTCGGGATGCACAGCGTTGTCCTCCTCTCAGCCAATCAGAGCCTGAGATTTAAACACCTGGAGGCGGAGCTACGCTGTGCATCTCTGATTGGTGTTTGTGACGTTTCAGAGCCGCAGCCGAACATTTTTGAGGAACCAAAACATTCAGAACCGAGCCGACGGTTCTGACACATTTACTGAGAACTACAATTTTTTTTTTTTAGCTGTTCAGCAAATAAATTTAACATTATTATAATAAAACATGCCATTTCCTGATTTTTGTCTTTATTTTAGTAAATATTCCTGGATGTTTCTGATCCCACTTTCTATTAGCACCAAATAAAAGCAAAATAAGGAAAATAAATACTGGAATATTTTAAAATGTCAGTAAATCTGTTTTGTTCTTTTAGATATTAAACCTCAGCAGCAGAACTATTTATCAGTAATAAAATAATCTAAATTTCTCCTGTCCTGACTTTGTTTCAGTGAAATAAAAATAAAAATCAGTAAACATCAAGATAGAAAAGTAAAAACTTTTGCCCAAAAGAGAACAGATATTATGTCAGAACTGATCTTCAGATTTTTGTTTGAGAATCACAGAAGTCGCCGTCGGCCATGTTTGTTTCTGCGGCTCCGATAAGTTGCTCTGTGGTGGCGTCTCTGTTTCATTCGTTCTGTTTTCTGTGTTTGTCCTCCAATTGTTAATCGTTTTCTCCTCCTGCAGAGAAACTAGATGAGATGCTGGCCGGAGGTCAACAGGAAGTGGTTCTGAGGGCCCGCCCCTCCGACGACTTCAGGGCGGCGACGGTCAAGCAGCGGCCGACGAGCCGACGCATCACGCAGGCGGAGATCAACGTAAGACGAGCAGAAAACGACTCTGAGTAGATAAATGTTTCTGACAGCAAAAAAACCCCAAAAAACATCATTAACTATTTAACCTCCCATGACTGAATAAAACAAACTACATAGAAATAAAAATTATTTTCGCTTTTTGGTATTTTTAACAAAAACCGAATAACCTTGGTTCAGGGATTCCCTCTGTGTTTTATCAGCCTGCCTATATTTTGGTCCTTTCAGCTTAAACTTTATTAAAGATTTTATTTTTCACTGAAACCAAACTTCCTGTCTTTGCTGATCTACATGCTAACATCAGCGAATAAAGCAACAAATAACGGATAAAGGATAACATTTTTTGACTTTTTATTTGTTTTCAGGTTTGCGTTTTTTAAGATTTTATGGTTACGGTTTTGGTAACACATACTTAAATATTTAAAAATTTCCTGTCAACTTTAAACATTTATTAACTCAAAACCACGGCAGGCTGCTGCCATCGCGCCTCTGGGCTCAATCTGGTCATTAGCTACAGCGGCTAATCGGCGGTAATATAACCACGCAGAAATATCTGATTTCAGCAAAACATGTGACTGAAGCATCAAGACGTGCCGTGCGAATGCAGCAGTTCCAGTTTTCTCCAGTGGGGGAGCTAAAGAGCGTGTTGTGTTTGCAGTCTCTGTTTGAGCGCCAGGGTCTGGTCCCGCCCTCCGCCCCAGAGAAGAGCACCATGCCGCTGCCCAGAGGGATGTCCAGAACCAAGAGCTTCGGTGAGACCCGTCAACTCCCAAAAATGTTTCCAGAGGTCAGAGGTCAACCACAACCCCTATTTCCCAGCTCAATTTTTTTCAAGATCTAAAAGAATTTGGCTGCAATCAATGAATCTACGTTTGAGCAGCAATAAATTTCAACTGTGCTGCAACCTATTGATGACCTCTAATGACCTCTGGAAACATAATCTTTAAAATGACAGGAGCACAAACAAAACATTTTGCAGCCCAAACATTTGACACCAATTCTGTTGTGTTTGGTAATGTGGGTGGGGCAGGTTGACCTTTTGACCTTTAAACTTTCGCTATTTCTTCAAAGCAAAAGCAGTTTTGAAGAAACATTTCGTAAATATCTAACATGGAAGAAGCTCAACATTTGTTTTGCTGCATAAACTTGTGACAGTTTTTGTCAGATTTGGGGGGAGGAGGATGTGAGGAAGGGGGGGGTCGGTAGGGGTCAGGGGGTCAGGAGGGTTCACTCGCAGCTGTTTATGCTCCCGTTTCCATGGTTACAACGACAGGCACCCCGGACGACGACAGAATCTCGGCTCTGATCCACGAGAGCCGTTTCCCTCGCAGCTCATCTCTGACGGACGGCTCCATCCCGCCGCCCCCTCAGACGGCGCCGCCCCCGCCGCCGTCCCCCTCCGCGCTGTACCTCTTCGACTCCGGCCCGCCGCCGTCCTTCCTGCCGCCGCCTCCGCCGGCCCGAGGCGAGGGCCTGACTCGCTCCAGCTTCAAGCCGGGGGCGGAGCCGCGGCTGCAGGAGCTGTCGGACGCCAGGAGCCACGCCCACGCCGAGCGCCAGCGCAAAGCGCGCTCCATGATCATCCTGCAGGACACGCCGCCGCCGCAGCCCGACGGACACGCCGCCGGCGCCACGCTCCACACCGCCACGCAGACCTCCACACTGTCCATCCACGGCTCCAGCCCCGCCCTCGGACACTCGCCGCTGTCCCGTCGCCGGGGACGACCGATAGAAAACCCGTACGCCAACGTGGGACATCAAGCCGCGCCCAACAAGCCCCAGAGGAGGAAGTCTCCCCTGTTGAAACAACTTCCTGTTGAGGAGCAGGGTTAGCATCGGCCGTCATCGTCTGTCTGACTTCACTGTGTTGTTGGTTCATCCAGAGTAGGAAACACTGCGACCTCCAGAGGTCACGGCGCCCGGCTAAAGTATTCACACCCACAAACTCTTAGAGATAAACCAACAGGAAGAAACAAATCGATGATTCTACGGATCAGTTTTCATTTAACCACTTAAACCTTTTTATATAATATTAAAAATACGTTAAAAGATGAGAAAATATGCAACTCTTTCTTTTTACGTAAGAAAATAAATATTTTATTGCCGAAAATGCAATAACAGCATTCCTTTAGCAAACGCTTCATTTGTAGCAAACGGCTGACCTGTTTGTTATTTGGATTAACCGATTATTGATTGGAAACACGGTGCTGCTCTAGCGCCCCCTAGCGTCAGGCTCAGCAGGTTTTCTGAAGGAATCCTGGAAAATAATGCAGATTTTTGCTTTATGGTTAAAATTGTTGCATAAATTCGATAAAGTTTACGGTAATGCAGTAAAATTAGTGAGGCGTTCTAACAGAAAATGCAGCGTGAGCCGTTATGCTAACATGTTTTAAATAGGCCGTTTTCTAATCTGGCTTAAATGTATCCTGCTAATACTTTCTGTTGCTCTGTGGTCATTAAATTGTTCAAACTGTGAACGTTTGGTGATTCTGTCCTTCATCATCACTTAAAACATCTTCATCTCTGAATCCTGAGGTCGCCTGAAGGTCAAACCTCCCAGCAGGAAACTGAAATGTTTGCGGCGCCTTTCTGATTCAGAATCAGTCCAGTTTCTTTCCTTTCAGGTCTTGGGATGAAAGACGATCTGTCCAAACCCGACGGCGGTGGACTGATGAGCCCGAGCCGAGCCGAGCTGTACCAGCAGCAGGTTCTGTCCGAGCGAGCCCGGGTTCAGGGTCGCCGCTCCTCTCTCTTCCTGTCGGTGGAGGGGTCGGGGTCAGACAGCCAGGCTCCGCCCCTCCTGACCCAGAGCCACTCCATGGACGACCTGGGCGAGCTGCCGCCTCCGGCGCCGGTCCTGTCGCCGTCACCGACGCCGCACACCTTCCTCCACCCGCTGACGGGGAAACCTCTAGGTCGAACGCATTTTCATTTTGGGTCACGTCAAGGTCATGAATGTTCTTAAAGGGCCGGTGGTACAGAATGTTATTAATAGATTCTCTGCATTCGATAAGGAAATTAAATAATATTGAACATCTTTTATCACTTCCTCCAGGATTTCATTGTTTGTCATTTTTGTAATCAGTTTTGTGGAGTTAATTTAGAAATATTTATAATATTTCCTCTAATTGGTCACAGTCTATAACTTGACATCAATTAAGGCGAGGAAGCAGCGTGTTAAAGTAAGAATGCCACCACTTGCAGGTGGGAGTTAGCTTCAGTTGAACCAAATGATTAACAATTTTTGTGGAAAATTTGAAACAACCTCACAATTATTAGTGCAAAAAGAAAAAACCTGCAATGATCTGTTGATTTTGCAGAAGAACTGGAGGAACTGACATTTGGCAGCAGATAAAAACTGCTTTGATTTCACAGACATCATTTCAAAGGTCTGACTTATGAGTCTCGACGGCCACAAAAAAAAGCTATGGGTGTCCAGATTTGGCCCCAGACCCTGAGTTTGACCCCTGCTCCAGTGGTTTCAGACACCAGCTCTGTAATTGACTGTATGGTTTTAATGTGAGGGATTTGAGGAAAACAAATTATATTAAAAAATAAATATTTAAAATAAAAACTTATTTCTTTTTAAATTTAAAACATGTCCTTAAAGTTTAACGCTGAGCAGCGATGGACTCTGTTCACATGGGACGTTTCCAGAAATGTTTTCATCCCCTCAGAAACACAGAAAACTACATTAAATGCTTGTTTTACTCCACCAGGCCTGAAGGTGGCGCTAATCATGGAGGCCATAAACCTTCCTCTAACGTTAGCGGTAAACACAAGAACAACGCGTGATCGCAGAGAATTTCATGAACTTGATGAATGAGCAGAAACAAAACTAATTTCTGCCATTTTTGTTGTCAAGCATGAGGCATTCAGGGTTAAAGGTCAGGTTGGAGGTCACATTACATTTTTTCGATTTTTGTTGTGTAACTTGATTAAAAATAATTCCAGAAAACATTTATGGTTCCCTAAAACTGCATTTCCGTGGAAACGGGGCCTGAATGTAGGTTTAACATGTGTTCAAATACTGCACTGTAAAAACGCAAAATCTGTCCAAGTAGATTTTGTTTACTTTAGTTTGTACTTTTGAAATAAGACCAAACTAAGATATTTGAACAAGAAACTACATCAAAAGCACTTCGTAAGGTCTTGTGTTGTTTCAACGTAAAAAATATGTTAACTGAGTATGAAAAATGTTTCTATTGCGAGTGAAGAAACAGCAAAACTCCTTTAAAATAGCGCCTCCAACAGGAAAACAAAGAACTACATCTGTACTCAATTTGCAAAGGCAAAAAATCCTTTAAGACCCATAAACAATGTTGCTACTTAGGTTTTGTCATTTGAACTTATATTAGTTAATGTAGTAAATGTTGTCAACAGATGGAGTTGGCTTTTCTGGCTCTGCCATCAACTCATAGAAGAGCTTCAAATAAAAAACAGAAATGGACCGAGGACGCTGCCTTGATGCACTCCATCAATATAAAGGCCAACTGAAACAGGATGCAGACAAAATGGAGCTCAGAAAACAATCCAGCTTTGTGATGAATGTGAAATCCAAATCCAGTCCTGATTAAACGTTTCCTTCGTTTCTTTCTTTAGATCCATCGTCTCCACTCGCATTGGCTCTCGCCGCGAGAGAGCGAGCGCTCACCGCTCGAACGCCGAGTCCCGAGCCTCGAATCAAACACTCCTCAGCCTCCACCACGCCCGTCCCCACCCCGGCTGCCAGTCCAGAGACCAGACACAAACGCACGCCGTTCACCACCCCACAGGGCAGCCCCGAGCCTCGATCCAAGCGCACCTCTCCTCAGACGAGTCCGGAGCAGCGGACCAAACACTCGACGCCTCAGACCAGCCCTGAGCTGAGGCACAAGCGAATCACGCCGCCGCTGTTCCCCGACGGACAGGTGGAGCGACCCGAGACGGAGGGGGGCGTGACGTCACCCGCCGCGCCCTCCCCAGAACGATGGAGACCCTCCCCTCTGCCGGCGCTGGCCAATGAGAGCCACGCGTCGCTGATCGACCGACGGCGAAGCCTCACGGTTGGCAGCTCGGAGGAAGAGGGCGGGGCTTACACCGTGACGCTCCCACCTGCCCTGCTGTCCTCCAGCGACGAGGAAACCAGGGAGGAGCTGCGCAGGATAGGCCTGGTGACTCCTCCCCCCGCCTTCGCCAGCCCCCCTGCTCCGCCTCCCCCCTCCTCCCTGTCCCTGTTGCCACGGCGAGGAGGAGAGGGGGGAGGGGAGAGCGGCCAGGAGTCCCTGGGGAAGCGAGGAGACGAGGAGGAAGGAGGCGACGAGCGTCTCCATGACAGCTCCTTGTCTCCCAGTTCGCTCCCTCCATCCATCACGCTGGCGTCCCCCGCAGCCCCGACCTCCCCTTCCTCCCCCCCTGCTGTTCACCCCGCCCCCTCCCCCTGCGCCACCTCCCCTTCGGCTCTGAAGCCCCGCCTGCGGTCGCCGATCGGCCGCGGCCGCTCCGCGCTGCGCGACCCGCTGCTGAAGCAGTCGTCCGACAGCGAGCTCCTCCCCTCCGCCGCCTCCTCGTCCCCCTCCTCATCCCTCTGCTCCTCCCCCACCAGCGGCGGCGGCCGGCAGCCTCGCTACCTGTTCCAGAGGCGGTCCAAGCTGTGGGGCGGCGGGGACGATGAGCGGCGCGGATTCAGCCCCGATGAAGGCGGCGGCCGACCGGCGGCACTGGGAGGACAGAGCTCCGGGTCGGCGGTGGACCTGACGGCCCGATCGGCGTCCGCCCTGGAGCTGAGCGGCCGGGCCGGGTCGGGACTGGACCTGGCCAATCGGCTACAGCTGCTCAACAAAGACAGCCACTCTCTGGGGGAGGAACCGAGTCCACTGGACCCGGGCCGCAGGTCTCCTGTAGGGGGCGCAAGGTACTTTCAACTGTCTGGTACCGAATCCTAAATGGGTTTAAAGAAGTGCAGTCGGTTCAGAGAGTTAATCCAGCTTTACATCACGACTAAACACCGAATCGCTTCTGATATTTACCATCAACACTGTAGATTCACAGTAACCTGAATCCAAAGGCCTCAAGTAGAAGTTTTACTGAAAGGTTTCCTCAGTTCTGAAGCAACAAGTTCACAAGCGAGAGTGAGAATAATCACACCAGTTAGGATCCTTCTTGGACACCAGTGGGGCATTAAGGTCACCAGTGGGGCATTAAGGACACCAGTGGGGCATTAAGGTCACCAGTGGGGCATTAAGGTCACCAGTGGGGCATTAAGGTCACCAGTGGGGCATTAAGGTCACCAGTGGGGCATTAAGGTCACCAGTGGGGCATTAAGGAAACTGTTCTGAGTGACCCTCTGTTTGATGTCCTGCAGGTTGTTCTCCAGCCTCGGTGAGCTTCACACCATCTCCCAGCGAGGATACGGCGCCAGCTACACGGTCCGTCCAGGAAGTCGTTACCCCGTCACCCGCCGAAGTCCGTCCCCGTCTCCCTCCCCCTCAGACCGGTCCGTGGGCCTTGGCTCCTCGCCGGCGCCGTGCTCCGAGCGGCCCGACCTGAGCTCCGGTCGAGGCCTGACCATCCTCAAGTCTTCAAGTCTCAGCCTGCCGTCGGAACCGAAGGAGGTCCGATTCGTCATGAGGAGCGCCAGCGCACGAACCAGATCCCGCTCGCCTTCGCCCTCGCCTCACGCCTCGCCCTGCCCCTCCCCGGTCCTCAGCGGGCCCCTGCTGGCCCTGCGGCCCTGGAGGCAGCGGCCCCTCAGCTTGTGGAATAAGTACGACGTGGGCGACTGGCTGGAGAGCATGGGCCTGGCCGAACACCGCCAGCGCTTCCAGGAGCACGAGATCGAAGGCTCCCACCTGCCGGCGCTCACCAAGGAGGACTACGTGGAGCTGGGCGTCACCAGGCTGGGCCACCGCATCAACATCGAGAGGGCCCTCAGACAGTTACTGGACAGCTCCACTTGACCCATCGCCTCCAACCAGTCACCTCTAGGCATCCAGAACTCTGACCTCACGACCCCTGACCTCAAGTCAGACCCCGAGCCATCTCTTTAATCCACTATCTCAGCCATTACAGAACCGCCCGCTTTCGTTGGCGCCCAGATCGCTGAAACGTTTTGGCTCATCGGCTCTTTAATCAGCAGCTCTGACCTCTGACCTGCAACTCGCATAGCAAAGAAATGACGTCCATCCTGCGACCCACATTCAATGTTTTTGGCTTAATGCAACCTCTAGCCGATCTTTTCATGAAAGTCCGATCAACGCAGATCCGAACCAGACGATAAATTTCCCCCGACGTTATTGACATAATCAATAACCATGTTTTACTAATATGACGGAAATGGCATAAAAATTCTGATGAACATTGAACCATTTTAAATATCCAAAATAAATGCACAATATTAACTACAAATATAAACATGATTATATTTCAGGTGAATTGGGAACAAATCCTGAATTTAGTTGGTGAAAATACAGATTTTTCCAGTTTGTGGTTCTTTAATTCAAACATTGGAAACTTTCCATATTTTTCCCACCAAAACTAAAATATTTAAGCTGAAATGATTAATTGGATTAATTGGTTATAAAAATAAATAGCAACTAATTTAGTAGCTGATGAACTGGAGAATATATAACCCATGTTCATAGCAGTAATTAAGCTAAAACCGCACAAAAAAATAATTCAACTAAAACTCATCAGTGGAAGTTTGGTTCAAATTCACTAAAGTAATAAAATCTTTTATTTATTAATTTAAAAAGAAATTTAATCATTTATTCTCATATCGTATAAAAAGGCTTCAGTGGCTAAATGGATAATCTGAGGAATGTCATTTTTTTCCTGATTAATCGTTTATTTTGACGATTAATTGGTAAACGTCAATGATATCAATTATTCTGCCAAATTAATTAGCGATTAATTGATTGTCAGAATGAATCAACTAAGAAAATAATTGTTACTTGCTGCCTTAAAAACTAAAATACATTTTGAATCTTAAATTTGAGGAAATTTCAGGTTTAAGTTTCGTTTTATGGAAACTTTGAACCCAAATCAAAAAATATTAAACATTTTGTTACATAATAACAGAAAAGAATCAAAAGATTAACTTTTGGCTGCTAGAAATTTATCAGTTTAATCACAATAAATATGTTTTTTTTCTTATGTTTTTGGTAAAAGTCGCAGTTGGACTCAGAGTTCTGATCAATGAGCCGATCAGTGAGTCGATCAATGAGTCGATCAATGAGCCGGTTTATCTAAATGATCCGGAAAGTTCTGAAACATTTTTTTTTCGGCTGTTGTGATTTTCGCCCCTCAAATATCATAAAGCTTTTGTGTTGCTTCAAACATGAATTCATATGTTAATGGATCATTTAGAATTAATCAATAAGTAATAATAATGATAATGATACCAGTGGTGGCGGTGATGCCGTGCAGAGCTTTCAGTCGTCTGGAAACAGATGTGTAGTGATGATTTGACAATGAGTTGAATTCCCGCCTCTGGAGTTCATGATGATTTGTCGATGAGCGGCGTTGGTGTGTTTCAGGGTTTTACCTGCTTTCTGAGGGCTACCTGCACACGGTGCTATCTGCTCAAAGCCATCTGTACAGACTCTACCTTCCTCCTCCTCATGCATCTTCCCATCCAGCAGCCAGGAACTAAACCAACCCAGCGCTGAGCCCTGACCAGCGCGCACAGGAACAGGCCATAAAAGGAGTTTTCTCCGCTGCCATATACGGGATGCTTTCCCTGTCAAAAGTGGAGTTGAATCCAAACATAAAAACAGGCAAACGGGAACACCGTCGCATCCAGATGTTTGTACGTTTTTATAAACCTGAACAGGGTCGATTTTTGTGCCAATAAAGAGGAATATTTAACTAGAACTTAGCTAAAAAACAGCTTCATGTTTACAGCAGTTAGATTTACATATTATCGGATTTTGATGAACCACACTGAAGACATTCCAGTACAATCAACTTCCAAAGGCATATTTAATAGTTCAGAGCTATAGTTAAATAAATATATTGTGTATATAAAACATATATAAGTATGAATATATAGTATCTTATTCCAGCACAAAGCTGCAGTGAAATGTTAAATTACTGGTTTTAAAAGTTCTGATCCAGTTCACACTGAAACATCTCAGCTGCTGTAATAAAGCTAATAAATGAATTAGTTTCACATGTCGTTCAGTTCCTGATGTTTAGCTAATTAATACTTGTTGCACTTTATGGCCCATCCTGATTGACAGAAGCTCTTAAAGAGACAGTACGTCTTTCCAAAAACACCAAACTGGGCCCAGTGGTGGTTCCTTTAAGCTCATCTGGTGATTCATCCACTGAAGCAACCAGAAAACCAAAACTACTACAATGTTGAACGGCTTCTGCGGCGATCACAAGGAAAAAGATCATCTTTCTGAAATTGGGTTTATTTTTCAAGCATTTTTTTGTTAGAAAGTAGAAAATTAAATAAAATAATAATTTGGACCATTACTATTTAAATTTAACACCCACAAATTATGAAAAATTCCAACTTGTTTCAAATATTGGTGCACCAATTGCAGTTTTCTGGCCGATAACTGATGTTTAGAAAAGCATGGCCAGCCGATGCCAATTTTTTTTTGTCTGAAAAATCATTAAATATATCAACTGGATCTAAGATCAGTGGATGTGATTGGTTTCTTGTTAAAGTATCAATCGATTGCCAATCTCAAAAATTAAGTAAATCTGGGCTGGGCTTTTTTAGTGCTGCACTAATTTTAAGTTAATATATTCAATCTTTCAGCTGAAGCTAATTAAATAAAACCTCACCAAATTCAACTGTATTATTAGCCCCTAGCTTAAATAGCTGTCATTTCATAACCATTAAATATGTTTTATTTACTGAAATCCTATTTTAGCACAAAACTAGCAAAATATTTAGATTTTGATGTAGTACAAATCCAAAACTAAGCCAGTAAAATGGCTTCATGTCAACATTTCCTCACACTAATTCCCTATATTATGAGGTTTGCGGTGTAATTACAGGCGTTTTCCAAACAGGCGAAAGTTTGTAAATCCAGAGAAAACAGACGATAATCAACTCCATGTTGCAGGAGTTGGGTTCTTTGAATCTGAACTGGAACCAGTTTGGTGGGAACCAAGGCCCCAGTTTATTCCCCCTCCCCATCACCCCTCATCCCCTCTTGCCCCCCCAAAGCACAATCAATGCTCAGTGCCTGTTACCATTACAACACGTCTCAGTCCTTCTGCCGAGCTACAATCATGATCCCAAAGTTGTACAAAGCCAATATTTTATAGAAAGCCCTGAATGCAGAATGTACAGTCTATAATGAAAACATTATATTAAAGCCTTTAATGTCTGTTAGAGTAGCTGTTGGTGAAAACACTGGACGGGTCAGAGGTCAAGTTCTGGTCCAGCAGGTAAAAATTAGAACGTTACAAAAGACCAATAAAGATTTCATTTGTTTTTAAGCGTCGCTGTGAGTCAGAAACATGAAAATGCGTCAAAACGTTGTAATGTTTTTTTAAAATTTAAATCCAATACTAAAACAGGAAACCGATAAACGCAAAAAAAAAAAAATTCAAATCGTTTTTACAACTTTCAGCCACTAGAGGACGCTGACAAATTCACTTCCTGCTAATAATTACGGCGAGGAAATATATATCTATTTTTGTTTGGGGAAAAATAATATTTCTGTTGCAGAATGAGGTGGAAAATCATTTTAATTTTGCTTTTACCAAACAAAATAGAAAAATAGCAAATTAATTATGATATAGTTAATAGTTTGAAAGCTAAAATTAACTAAAAAATTATGTAATTGTACAAAAAGTGACTTTAGGATGTGCAAGAAAATCAACAATATACCCAATGTGAGACACTGAGCTGAAAACCTTCATAAATTTCAACAAAAAGAGGTAAAAATCTCTTAAAACTCTTTAAATAAACTGAACTACTTCAGTTCATTTCTATTATCCACCATGTTAATCTGTTTTAATTCATGGTTTCCGCTCATCTATACTACAGTATATGTGCTTTTATGAGTTGTTCATAACTGGTTACCTTAGAGATTTTTACAGCAGGGGGCGCTGCAGAGTGAGGCTGAACTGAAACAGGGATGCTAACAGATCAGCAGCTGGTTATGAAAACCAGGACGAATCTGGAAAAAGCGGAATAACGATCAGGAAAACTCCGGCTGAGATCCCGACTCTCTGAACCTGCGTGTAAATCCTTCCTCCTCCTCCTCTTCCTCACTAGCTTCCTCTTTTTACAGTATGTCTGTGGTTTGTTCTGGAGTGAGTGGCGTGCGTGTACGTGCAGTTTTTCTCTTTTCTAAGCTCCGGAGAGCCACGATGACAGCTGATGAGCTCTTTGACAGATTGTAATCTTTATAATAAACCCTCATTTATTACAAACCGAGCGCTGGCTTCCTGTCTGATTCTTTCAAAATAAGACCCAGTAAGCGTAAATGCTAATGTTATAGATTATCTAGTGGTTAGTGGCTTAAACTTTATTTCCTAGCAGAACTAGTAGTAATTTATGTAAACTTATTTTGCATTTTTTTGCATTATTACATTAAAATCAAATCTATATTTATCATTTCCATTTTTCTGACAAAATATGGGGTGATAGACTAAAATGTCATCCAAATGTTGAAACTATTTGAAAAATGAAGTAAAAAAGTTTCTATTTGTTTGATGCAAACGGCTACAAACAATAAAAGGTCTGAATTTACAGAGGAAACTGACCCAAATAATCAAGTTTCTTTCCTGTAGGGACGTTATTATCGACTCGGTGTGAGCAGTGTGGAGTGAAAACTGGATAAAACAGTAAGTACTTCAGGAATTTAAAACAAAAAAATAATCAATAATTGTTAGCTAATATGTTTAGAAACTGTATTCACTATTAGACCAATATTTTACGAGATAAAACTTCAGATTATTATGCAGAGATACTCTTATTATTGGAGGAATCAGACCAGAGGATGATTATCTATCAACCCTGAACAGGAGAACCTCGTTTAGATCAACATTAGATTATTTTTCTTTCCTTTGGTTTATTTTGTTTGTATTTTAATTCCTGTAAAGCACTTTGTATTGCCTTGTTGCTGAAAATGTGCTCTAAAAATAAAATGACCCTTTACAATTAAAATTAAGGATTCAATTTCTTTTTATTCTGTATTTACTTAAGAAAATCCTGGGACAGAAAAGTTGAATAAAACTAAACAAGAGACTCCAAATGGTATTAATTATCAGAGTTGCATTAAAATATTGTAAATATTCTGGTCAGATTAATAAAGTTTTCAGTAAAATTGCGTGTTTTTTTTGTTGTTTTTAAAGCGAGTTTGTTCAGCTTTTCAGATTGTGACATGAAGGTACATGACAATCTGCAAACAAAACCGAGATAACCACGACATGAACTTGACTCAGGAGTTTCTTGTAAACCGATTGGCTCCTCCCCCTGCTCTCTGATTGGCTCCTCCCCCTGCTCTCTGATTGGCTGACGGCGTGCCAACCTGCAGGTGGGTCGTCCTGCCAACAGGTCAACGCCACTCCGACTGCAGAGCAGGTAGGACCCATCAGCTGCGCAACGCCTCACTCACTGACTTTAATGACCAGTCAGGAGATACATTAAAATTATATTTTCTCAATTTAAAGCAGATTTTATTGTTGGTTAATGATGCTGAAGATTTGTTGTAAAATAAAAAGTTGTTACTGCCTAGGCAGAAAATCTGCTGAGTTATAGCAGATTTTCAGTTAAATGATTTACCGACTGTGTGACTTTTTAACAAGTTTATTCATTTTTGAATTGAAGAGCCTCAAGCTGGACAAATCTGCATTTTAGAAACTGGGATGTTTCTAGCCAAGTATTTTTTCTATTCAATTCAGTTAAAAAATAATTTATTTACCTGCCAAAAGAGATTAAATAAATTCCAAAATGGAAAATTAGCTTTCAGTTTTTATGCTCCTCTAATTTGAAACAAACTTCCAGAAAACTGCAAAACGACCAAAACACTGAGTTCCTTTAAAGCAAAGCTAAAAACACCATCCAGAAACCCGAGTTCATCCCACTTCCCCGAACAGTAACACTAAATAAAATTACCTTTAAAATTAATCACTCAGGTGACATCAAGACCCAACAAAATCAATCTAGTTGTGTGTTTTTGTCTCCTGCAAACTTTTATTCTACGTCTTTTTTCTGACATCGTAAAAATCAGTCAGACAGAGAAATGAAACAGGAAGAGAAGGTTTCCTGGAAAAACAAGAAGTCAGTTTCCAGATCTATAAAAATAGTTGTTCCTTGTTGTAACATGAAAGGGGAGGTTGCGCAACGACACCATTTATTTATGACAACTGCGGTTATTTATTGATCAAATATAACTAGGAAATATATTGATTTTGGTCTGGATTATAACTTCTCTTTATTTAGTTATCTGTTTTCATCATGTAAAATTTTAAACTGTCATGTTGCTGAAATGCTCTTTACTAACAAACTTCACTTCAAAACTACAATCTGATGGAAAACATTCTTTTAGATGATCTAGTCCATAATATTAGGGAATAGTGTAAAATGTCATATTTCAATGTTTTGATTATGATATAATGTCCTTATTTCATCAGAAAGAGCTGATTTGAATCATTCAGCCCCAATTAAAACTCAATAAAAAGTTGGTGTCGCCTCAATAAACACATCCAAATATAAATATTCTCGCTAAAGATTCGGGTTTCTCCGAGCCGCCATGCCGTCCATCGTAGATCTGATCAGGAAGAAGAGGGACGGAGGTCAGCTGACCGATGAGGAGATCAAATTCTTCATCGAGTCTGTAACGACCAAACGGATCCAGGACTGCCAGATCGGTAGGAACGGCTCGATTCGGAGCCAGACTGGAGCCGAGCGGCTTTTACTTCTGCCTCTGCGTTTAAGGGGCCATGCTGATGGCGATCTGGCAGCGAGGGATGGAGGCGGCGGAGATCCGCACGCTGACCCGGGCGATGATGGTGTCCGGGGAGGTGATGAGGTGGCCGGACGACTGGAAGAGGCTGATGGTGGATAAACACTCGACGGGAGGGGTGGGGGACAAAGTGAGCCTGGTGTTGGCGCCGGCGCTGGCGGCTTGTGGCTGTAAGGTAAACCCCGGACCCCGTCAGCGTTTTTACTGGAAAACCTTAAATAGTTACATTGATGCAGTAAGGAGTCCTTTATTTCACTTTTTGTTTAGGGTAGGCAACAGGTGGGGGAGGGGCAGCTCTGATGAGGGAACTCTGGTCACTCTGCGCTTCATGTAGTAGACTTTAAACTACGGCTGAAACGATCAATTGAATTTGTTGTGATTAATCGGTTGTTGAAAAAACTAATTTGGTAATCAATTAATCGTCACCTGGAGATTCAAAAAAGGTAATTTACTAAAAGAAAAACATGTTCAGAGATGTAATTAAGCCAAAACTGTACAAAACAAGATAGAAAAAAATTTTCACAAATAAGTTTGACCCAAAACTCCAAATGCTTTTGTTAATCTAAAAAAACTAATAAATCAGCAGATCAGCTGATGATCTCTGTGGTCGAATAATCAAGTATTCATTAAAGAAATGCTGTTATTGCATTTTAGGCAGTAAAATGTTTACTTTCTTACTTTGAAAATAAATGTAATCATTTGTTTATTTGCATCTTTAATGTATTTCTGACGTCATAGTTTAGCATGTCATCTTTCCATTGATGACAAAGAGTTCCTCAAATCTCTAATCTGAAGACTGTATAACCAAAATAAACATTATAAATGATAAATATTTTTGTCATTTGTCTATTTATTCAATAATTCAGAAGGACAAAAGGTTTTCTGAATTGAAAATGTTGCCTATTTAGTTGATGTAGTTTGGTTAAAATGCGATCTCTGCTAGTCGTGACAGGAGGAAGCAGAAGATGCTCAGGGAACCCTAACCTTTACCCTGACCCTAACCTTTACCCTGACCCTAACCTTTACCCTGACCCTAACCTTTACCCTGACCCTAACCTTTACTCTGACCCTAACCTTTACCCTGACCCTAACCTTTACCCTGACCCTAACCTTTACCCTGACCCTAACCTTTACCCTGACCCTAACCTTTACCCTGACCCTAACCTTTACCCTGACCCTAACCTTTACTCTGACCCTAACCTTTACCCTGACCCTAACCTTTACCCTGACCCTAACCTTTACCCTGACCCTAACCTTTACCCTGACCTGACCCTGACCCTTCACCTGCAGTAAACTCAGCGCCCTTTCGTCTTCGCCAGGTGCCGATGATCAGTGGGCGGGGCTTGGCTCATACAGGAGGAACTCTGGATAAACTGGAATCCATTCCAGGATTCAGGGTCCAGCAATCAGGCGACCAGGTGAAGCAGCACCAGACTGTTCCTGCAGACGTCAAAATCTAACAGGAAGTGACCAACCAGGTGTTTCCTGTCTGCAGATCCGGACCATCCTGGCCTCTGTGGGCTGCTGCATCGTAGGTCAGACGGAGATGCTGGTTCCGGCTGATCGGGTTCTGTATGCTCTGAGGGACGCTACCAGCACCGTGGACAGCCTCCCACTCATTACTGGTACCGAACTGGGATCAGTGAGACGGCTTGGATCGGGGCGTACATGTGAACGAGCCGCTGTTGGGTTTTTCAGGTTCCATCATCTCAAAGAAAGGAGCCGAGTCTCTGTCCGCTCTGGTGCTGGACGTGAAGTTCGGTCGCGCGGCGCTCTACAAAGACCTGCAGAGTGCCAAGCAGCTCGCTCAGCTCTTAGTGAGTCCAGATCCAAGATGGCTGCTTAGCAGTTTTTTTTTTTAACTGCTAAATTACAGCGTTGGAGAAGTCCAATCTGATTTTTGGTTTGTGAAGGTTGAATTTTCGGAAGAATCTGAAATGTTTCCATAGTTAAGAGTGATGTCAGCACACCAGGGCGGCCATCTTCTTTTACAACTTCTGTTTATTGGGTTAGGGTTATAATAATAATTCTCCGCTGTGTAACTCAGAAAACACTTTTTGAAAATATTTTCTGTCATTTGCTATTTTTTTGGAAAAGAAATCAAGTGAAACATTTTGTTTTTAGACCAATTAAAATGCTATGTGTTGTAGATTTGATTTCGAAGCGGTTTCGCGCAGCTCCAGTAAAAAATTGATATTTCTCTAAGATGGAAGCAGGCAACTGCCTGGGCATCCGAACGGGAGCCGTGCTGAGCCGCATGGACGGCGCCATCGGCCGCTGTGTGGGAAACAGCCTGGAGGTGATCGAATCCCTGGAGACGCTGAAGGGAAACGGACCTGACGACCTGATGGAGCTGGTCACGACGCTCGGTAACGACAAGAACCGTTTTGGTACCAATTAGAACCACAATGGTGAACAGATCAAACCAAGCATCAACTGAAAGCTGAATCTGTGTTTAGGGAATGAAATCACTGCCAAACAGGAAGCCACAGCAGAGCCTGAAATACTCAGAACAAACCGTAGAAACGGGGGTGGAGTTCCACCTGGAGCCGTCCTCCATCTGTCTGCTTTTCATTCCAACCACAAAATTTCAGCTTCACAACCACCGTTAAAGTCAGCGTCCGTTATCTACTCACAGTCTTGCTACCAAAATAACATTTGGCATCAAAAGCCCGTCAGTGGTGCTTTGGTTTGATGAGAGGTCAAAATCTCCATCAAACGTCACATTTATAAGAATCAACTGTCCATTGCCAAAAATAATAGAAGAAATTTGAACTACATTTGAGTTCTGAGCATTTTAATACATTAGCCAAAAGGATCAACATAAAAAAGACAAAAATCAGTCCAGAAACAAGAAGCTACAGCAGCAACAATCCAAACACAAAACCGTTTTGTGGTTAATTGTTGATATTCTCTTAATTCACATTAAGAAAAGAAACTCAGCGTTCGCTAAAATCCACCAAACCTCTTCAACATCCGCGATGAGGAGATTCTTCTTATTACTTTAATTTTGAGCAGCATTTTGAGTTGGTTTTAAAAAAACGTTTATTTTATAAATAAAACTAATTGACTAGTTTATTTAATAATATGCTTCATATTCATCTAATTGATGCTAAAAATGTTCCGCACTGATTAAACATAAACAGCTGAGCAAATTTCTGGTCCTTCACAAAACTGAACAGCAACGTATTTAACACCTAGAGACAGAAAATGAATAAATGTAATTCAGATTGATCTTACCAGAACAAGCAGAATCTCTCCGGAGGTTTCAGCCTGGTCTACTGTTTTCCTAAAAACAAATTAAAAATATGAATGAAATTTTCTAAAACTTAAAGGATTGCAGTTTTATGTTTATATGTGTCATATTTTGTATAAAACTCCTGTGTTGTCTCTGCCTGTTAGAGCTTTTCATTCATTCTTGGTTGTTTTACAATCTCTCTCTGTTGTGAACAACATATGAAAACCCCTGATTGAGAGTAAAAATGTTTCCGAAACAATATTTACTAGTGATAAATGGCAACAGATGATCTGCATCAACACTAAACCTTCACATTACAACAACCATATAAACTGACGAAGGAAGAATCGATTACAAATACAAAGAGACTTAATATTTTGCTAGAACATTTAATTCAATAGGATTAATTTATGGGTTGATAATAGATTCATAAACAATGGGATGAGGATCAATATTTTAATATATTAACATTTTTTAATTTTCCATACTTATTTAGATATGGATGGAAAATATTTAAATGAACTTCTGCATGTTTCCAGACAGCAAAGTGATAATTTATTCAACATAAACTCTGAATGTAGCTAATCATTAACCAGGAAACCAGCAGTAAAACCTCACTGTAGTATTTCACTAAATATTAAGTATTTCTATCACACATTTTTGTCAAAACTGTGCATTAAAAACTTGAACTAACCTATAATTGTATTTTCATATATTAAAACCAGTTAAAATGAGGCGCTTTGCAACTAATTAGCTGCAAAACTTTTAGCTCCAACTGTCGCCAATTAGCAAAGTGCTGCGCTTCGCTGCTCAGCTAATTATCTACATTTTGGACTTTAAAATCGTCTCAACAGGAATTTAATTGACATTCACGGCTAAATGTAGCAGGAAAAGCAAATATTAGTGTTTATTACCGTCGTTTGGACGCGTTGAAACGAGATGAAGCGACTTGTTTATTAAACTCCGCCATTGCAGCGGTTCGCTGAGACGGGTTCAGGAAAACTGGGAAATCAGAGTGTTTACAATTGGATTAGTGTTCTTCGGTCATATTGATTATACATTTTAAATAATCCACCACAATGATTTTTGTCAACAGTGTCCAAGACTTTCTGAAGGTCTTGTAGTTTTTATTAAGACTTTGGCTGCTGCTTTTTGCCAGTACTTTCTGCTCATTAGCGGACAATAACTGCTTACTCTGTCATCCCAAACTGCCCAGCAAAGATTAGATGCGTTTTGACTTAATAACTCCTGAGGAGTCAAGTTGTTTGGTGTTAAAATTAATATTAAAAGCTGCTGAATGGGAGAAATTGACCGAGAACTCATCACTATTGATTCCGGCAGGTGGAATGCTGCTGGAGATGACGAATCTGGCGCCGGGCCTATCAGAGGGCAGAAAGCAGATTTACGACGCTGTGATTGGTGGAGCTGCCTTGTCTAAATTCGAGGCCATGCTTACGGCTCAGGGCGTGGCCAATCAGACGGCCCGGACGCTTTGCTCCGCCCACACAGATTATTTCAGCGTCCTGAGGAAATCTGAGCATCAACTGGAACTTCTGACTCCTACAGATGGTGAAGTTTAACCATGGCGAATAACGACTCTGGCATTAATTTTCTGAGGCTAAATGTAAAAAATCTGAGAGAAAAAAGTCACATTTATCAGTTTAATAAAAAAAAAAAAAAAAAAAAAGATTGAAGAGATTAAAGTCAGATTTTTCTTCCTCCATGGCTGTTATATTCTTCTGCTGATTACTGATTATAAACTGGTTAAAAATGGAGGATCAGCTTGTATTTAACGCTGTTTTGAACTGTTAGTGAATAGATAACAGCAATACATTAATTTCCTCTCGCCCTTTATCTTCATCCAGGAGTTGTTGCAGGTGTGGACGGTTTGGTTCTGGCTCAAGTTCTGCAGAAATTGGGGGCGGGGCGATCGAAGGCAGGGGAGCCAATCAATCACAGTGTGGGGGCGGAGCTTCTGGTGTCTCCTGGCCAGACTGTAGAAACAGGTGAGACTGATGAAAGCTTGTTACCTGGTTTTTACCTGATTCATTTTTGTTGCTGTTCCAGGTGCCTCCTGGCTGCGGATTCATTATGAAGATCCGGCTCCGGGTCCAGACCAGATCAACCTGCTGCAGAAAGCTCTGACTGTGGGAAAAAACAATAAGAGAGAAGCAGAACATGCACACACTTTAGTAGCAGAAATACTGCAGCCTGATGTTAAATCAAACTGATCTACACTGTATGGTTTCTGTTATAATCCTAACAAAAAGTAGCAAATCTTCAAATCAAAAAGCAGTTTCTGTATATCTTTCCATCTTTTCATTAAACGTCCAATTTTTTAGGTAATAACGTTTAAATTATGTTAGACTCAAAAGATGCACATACTTTTTCAGTGTGCTGGGATTAAAGCAATTAAATTGAAGACAGTACAATTGTATTTTTGTTAGTTTACTACCAAAACAGTACAAAAGAACATTCAAATATATCTGCAAAATAAAAACAATTCTAAGTAAAGAAAGATAAGTTTAAACTCATTATTTTAGTGACAAACCTGTCTTCTTGTAAATCTTTTCAGAACATTGTATGTTTGGGTTCGTGGCGCCCTCTGCTGGACAGTTAGAAAACACGCAGCATGCTGTGAAACGTAAAAAAATAATAATTTCAATTGTTTTCAATAAACTGACATGCGTCCCAGATAGATTGCCTCTAATTTACAGAAATCAGTAGCATAACCGTGCACGAAACAAATTAATGACAACAAATATTGGAGGATTAAGCAACAACACTCTTAACCTTACATTTTCGAATTGAGAATCTTTTTTGTACATCAGCGTAAAAGGCGCACAATTTGCCAAGGAAGTGATGAATGGTAAATACACTAAGATGTAAAGCGGAGAAGAAAAAAAAAGTGCAATTTCTCCCCGTCGGGGAATCGAACCCCGGTCTCCCGCGTGACAGGCGGGGATACTCACCACTATACTAACGAGGAGATAGTGTCTACAAGCCCCAGCAGACATTATGAAATCTGTGCACCGCCCTCTGGTTCATGCTGGTTGGATCGCTTCCCAGTTTGGTGCCGCGCGTTTTAGTTTTTTGCCGAATGTTTCAACTGTGAATTTGAACAAGATTTAATTTTATCTCTCTAAAGTGAGAGATGAGCCGCTATATTGTGAATGTATTTGAGAATTAATTTAACATTATGTTTTAATAAAAATACAAAACATATGTATTTTTATTGTGGGAATGAGAAAACTTTCAGAAGTTCTCAGTGCCTCAGCATCAAATCTGTTCCATACATTTACTTTAAGACATTGAGAAATGAATCTCAAGATATTTATATTATGGACTTTTCTCAAACATGGTCTTAAAGTAAAGTGAATCTATTGTGTCCTAGTAAAAAAATCCAGTAAGATCCAATACAAAGACAACATGAAATTTAAGTTTATTAAAAATGTCTCCTATTGAAGCACAGAAAACAACTTTCAATATCAAACAAACAGTTCAATTATCTTTATTTATAAAATCTTACACACAAACAGAGGTACACAAGAGGATAAAGTCATTATTCATTAGCAAACTGAGTCCTGCTGTGACAACAGTGATCACAGCAGAGATTGGTACGGAGACGCTTAAAGGTCAGTGGACCACGGAGTTGAGCGGCTCGGCTCTGATGTTTCCCAGATCCAGGGTGGAGTCCGTCTCCTCATCGATCTCTCCGATGACGGCTCTGTAACAGAACAAACCGCTGAGCTTCGAGCAGAGATCCTGACTGAGCACCGGTCGAAGCACTTTGTATTGCCTTGTTGCTGAAAATGTGCCATATAAATAAAATTACCTTTAATATATAGTTAATCACATTAAAGGCTTGTGAAACAAAAGCCTTGATGCTTTAAGTCTCTGCATAGTAGCATTATAGCAGCATTATAGCAGGACAAGACGTAGTTTGAAATTTTAAGAATGTTTTCCCACGTGAGTCCGATAGAATCGGTTCGATAAGTGACCAAAATTAAAACATTTATTATATTCTCAGCTGCTGTGGTTCCCTTTCTCTCTGCTCCGAGTCAAACCTTTGGAAAACTTGTACCCCTTTCTCCATTTCTCCAGCAGATTTTCTCATTTTGAAAGTGAATTTTAGACTTTATAGCCAATATAATGTGACTGATTAATAAGTAGGAAACAAACAACTCACACGTTGTCTCCTCTGACAATGTAGAGTCCCAGCACCACCTGCTCCACCCCCTGAGTGGAGCTGAAAACTCGCTCATGACTCTCGTCCAGGATCAGATTAATGGTCTGATCGAAGCCCTTCAGCGTTCCCTGAACAAACAATCAGGTCCCATTTTAAAAAGTACTGTTAGTTCATGAAAAATTAATTTTCCTCCAGGTATAAAACACAGATTTGATTTAAAGTCGACTGTGTTCAGCAAAACAAATATGTTTTCTGATAATCTTTAAGATTAATCTTTCATACCCCACTTAGCGTCAGTTAGTGTTGAACGTATTAAGAAAAAGTATATTTCTTAAAATTGTGAGGATGAAATCTGCTTATAATTAACCCAGATGAATCCATCAGTTTAATGGATTTACTCACCACAATCATCCTGCCGTCTGACGTGACAATGGCCACAGTGCCTGAAACAGCAGCAGTTAAAGAAACACACATCTGCAGTTTCATAGAGTCACAACAGAGAAGTTTGAAATGCTGTTTGTTATTCTGAAGTTTGCAAATTAAGTTTCTATAACACAAAATCTTCCTTCTGCGCCATTTCAACAGTTCAATTCATTTCAATGAGAAGCCAGAGACATCCAGAGGTTTCTGCAGCACTCACACTATGACGTAATAATTAGTAATAGCAAATGTGTTTTCATTTGGTGTAAGTAGAAAAATATAATGAATACAATAAATGCTTAAAAACATGTATATCTAATTAATCTGAGTGTAACTGAAATAATGAACTTTTCATTGCTTTACTGTGGGGAAAAGGAAAAACATCGCATAGATCTTCTGTTCTCATTTACTGTGAAGATACAATTATTCAGCTAAAAGACGCTTTTTATTATTCTGGCTTTCTATTCCGGATGAAACCTTTTAAAAAACAGACCAAATGTTAATGCATTATTAACTAATATCAAAACGAACAATTTCTGTTTCTAGATAATTTTATAAAATAATGTTTTAACATTGGCTTCCTAAGACCAGCAAACGAGTTCTCAGATTTTTCTATATTAACATTTTTCTCAATATTTTGTCTCACTGTTGCGGACACTGCTTCAAATAAAGAAAATAAAACAAATATTCCTCGTAGTTATTAAGGTTAGCGTGTTAAGCTAACTAGCATGTCTTCATTCTTTTTAACGCAGAGTTTGCCTGTTAGCTGGCTAGGCTAACTAGCATGTCTCCATTCATTTAAACGGACATTGATTAGCAGGTTAGCCGGCTAACAGCAGCAGGATACGGTTGATGTAACTTTCCAAGGCGGTGGACATCCTCAGTCCGGAGCTCGGTGTTTATTTGTCCTGCAGATATTTTAGTAGAAAGCAATTCCTCCCCGTTTCTTTACTTAACCACGTTTAAAAGCAGCCGCGGGAGGTAACGGCAACAAACCGGAGAAAAGACCAGACTAGTCTCCCACCGATTCACCGAGCAGGTCAGGCAGAAGAGGAGAGCGCCGAGTGAACAAGTTACATCCGGTTTGGTTTAACGTAAATAAATAAACGAAATAAAAATAAATCAGTCCATCTTACCGTTTTCTGATAAAGTACTAATATGCTTTAATATCCCCTCATGTTCTTGGATGGAATATAACGTTATTTTTATACTAAGCATAAAAATAAACATTTCAAATGTCAAAGTTGCAAGATGGTGACCGGAAATCACATTTTCTTCAATTTAAGCAAACAACACATATTATAGACTAATGATTGAATCCATAGGCCGTATTTTGTTTTTCTTAGTGTTAATGAGAAGTCAAGAAAAATATTTTATGATAATTATTTAAGATCTTAACTATTTGTATGGAAGGGTTGCCAACTTATCCTTATCAAAAATAGTGAATAAACAGTGCAAGATATATTAAATTGATTTGAAACAATGTTGAAAAAGCAACATAATTCAACAAAGACTTTATGTGTAAGCTGACATATACTTAAAAATAAATAGAGAGAAATCTGTTTTATTGCAATTAAAGGGTCCTAGTATGTAGGAAGTTGCTGTTTAGTACTTCAGTACCTCTCTGATCCAGATGCTTAGGTCTGCCAATCAGCTTCTGCAAAAATCCTTAAAATCAGAGTTGACGAAGCCGATACCTTTAAAAATGACAAACATCAGCAGATACAGATATACCACATATAACATTAACATTGTATTCCTGACAAAGGAGCTAAAATTGATGAGAACAAATGTGTGTCTGTGTGGACAATGATGTGAAAAACATGGATTTCAGTAGGTTTTCATCTTTATTGTTGCTCAGTAGTAGTCCATACAAAGGGGTGGGGGTGGAGTAGATCAGTGGAGCCCGACAGGACCAGGACAAACACCAGGAACGTCATGCTACCAAAGTATTAAATTTGTACAAAAATACTTTACAACATCCCTGTTCCTTTAAAGAAAAAGAAAAATACAGTTTGGTTGGTTGGTGAAGCTACATGGAATCTAATCTGACCCACTATTTTAAATGGCAGTGCAGTGCACGTGTGTATATATATGTGTGTGTGTGTCTGTGTGCACATGTTTTGCTGAGGTTAATCACCAGAGTGCAAATCCCTGCAATATTACACACACATACACACAAATACAAACGCACACTCTAACATACGTACACACTTTTTATTTACATACACGCAAGCACAGTGTGTATGGCTTTGGACCTCACTGTCAAACCTTCTGAAGCCACGCCCCTCAGTTCTGTGGGTGTTCTCATTGGTCAAGAAGTTTGTGTTGACTGAGTGCTAAAATGTTGCCCTTAGCTAATGTTCTGTTCATGTGGCAGCCTGGTTTGTTTGCCATGCTTGCATATATTGATACTAGCCACGTTTTACCTCCCAATCGTACATGAACATTCAGGATAACTTGGCCTCAACTACAAAGCTGGTTTCACAAATCCAAGACAATCCCATCCACAGCTGAAGCTACAGATTTTATAAGGAAAAAAAATATGGTGCTAAATTATGCATTGTAAGTTGGAAGCAGAACCATTTTTTCAGCTGTCCAAGGCAGTAAAACTGATGAAAGTGACCCATTTTTAACTTGGATTCTCCTCCCAACCATAACTTTTATTTATCTTTGTATAAATAAAACAACTAAAACAACATGGTAAGAAGTGAGGAAGGTTTGACTGATCCTGCTTTGTGGTGTAGGCCAAGATTTGGTCCTATCATTGTTCTCACTCTTAGAACGTAATTTTTAGGGCTGACCCTACGGGTGCTTTCCAAAGTCAGGGATTTCCCAAGGATGCTATGTTCATCTTTGTCATCGTTGTATTCCTTTATTTTCTTCTTCCTATTAGTTAGTTGAAATTTCTCCACAAAATCATGGAGACTGTGCTTTATGGTTCCTTCCAGGGGCACGAGCAAAAATCTCCAGTAAAAGGCATCAAAGATGTTGAAACCATCTCAAGTGGCGTCGCTCTGTGCAGAGAAGGAGAGACTGTCAAGTCTACCTAATTCCTAAATGAGGTTAAAGTAGTCACCTTGCAGATAAAAGGTTGTGAATTTAATTCTAGCCCTTCCCACCACATTTTGAGGTGCCTTTGGCCAATGGACTCAACTCTCTGTTATCTATTGAAGTGTGTTGAGAGTGGCACAGCAAATATGGCAGAAGCGTAAAGGCACTCAGTGGAAAGCAGAACCTAAGGCCCCCACATACTCAGACCTATTGTGCGCAATCTATGAACAACGCAGACTATGCAAGCTCCGCGGTTGATCATGATTTTATAGGCAAGCATACCAACTGCATATACTTCTTGTGACAAATTTCTTAATTTCAGACAATCTGATGATTGCCTTCTCAATTCCTTCTCCACCCTGGAAGCAACCACAAACCTTTCAGTGCAGCAAAGGACACAACAGTCAGGCTGTGCATCCTTGCAACAGTTTGTGCCAACTCTTAGCCTCCTGAGCAACACAGAGTACAAATACACGGTCGTAAAAATGTTCCTTTGCACAGATGTGTGCGGTGGACGTCCACTTTAAGTGAATGGTGAAGTACTTCACTCTGCTTCAGGCATTTCAAACTCCAAAGTAGCAATGCACACTTTGCCTTCTTACAAGCAGATTCTTACAACCAGATTCAAACTTAGAGGTGCTACTCTTTCTCACAGCCATTTAATGTTCAGCTATCGAGGGAGCTGCCAGAAGTCCAGGTTTGAGAGGGCAGTCGCATGTGTTGTTTTAACACAAAATGAGAAAATAAAAATATCATCAAAGGCACTCAACACCAAAGTAACACAAAAATTGGTTGTAATGATGACAGAGGAGCTTGAAAACCTGCCTTATTGATTTTCACCAGCAGTAGGAAAGGTTTTAGGTTTTCAGAACGCAAGTGACTGATGGATGAATATCTGTCAATGAGATCAGGTTGAGGAGGCACCAGGTCCATCGGCACTAAACAACTTCCACAATATCTCTTGGCCCGAGAGGATTGCTGAATGTTGACTTAATCTATTCTTATCCAGGTGGAATGTGGTTAGGATAGCTCCGAAGCAGAGTGTCTAGGAGGTATCATAAAAAATTCCCATGCCATCTTTGGTGACTTCTTTGCCATGAATCAGATTCTCTACTCCAAGTTCTTCCTAATCACCTTATCTCTAAAGCAGAGCTTAGCCACCGTACAGAGGAAGGTAATGACAGAAACCATAGTACTGGAAAGAGTGAAACTTGTTTCTGGGATGTGACCTAACTTCTCACTCTGGTTTTATTGGGACCAAATTAACTAAGTGGCCATTTAGTCCAACAAAACACATGAACTACCATCAAAGTTTCACAGCCACACTAAAGACTTCATCGTTCCTCTTCTCTTAAAAGTTAGAAAAAAGGTAATCCTACAACGTAATGCTAGTGGTTACAAAGACATCCTTCAAGGAATCCGCCCTGTCCAGTTGATAACTGGGTACTTTGTTGACTGCAAAGACCAGAAGTGAGCAGCTGTGAACTTGACAGTCTTGCTTTTCAGAGGATGTATTTATGGTTACATTTCATAACCTTCATTGGCTACTTCATCAACCCTTGAAAGATTCAGCCAATTGCTAGCCCACTGGTTACCCACCAGCCACTTTTTGGGATATTTAATGATCTGATGGAGCCTTGACATCAAAACAGATCTAATTTAATTTCACATTCAAGATCAGGAAGTTCCTTGACTTTGAGAAGCATCCGTACAAAACCTAATGTGCAAGCCACATGCTAATCAGCTGCTCAGTTAGTAAACATTAGCCCTATTGTGGCATTGTGCAAGGTCTGTGCTAGTTACAGACTGGCCGTGCTTGCCCTGGGTTTGATTACTAACAATCTACTAGGTGATTTAACTAGTCCTGACTACCTTTGTGCTGTGTTAGCCATGTGCTCGATGTTTGCTAACCATCTTCAGGTAATGTGCTTATTCAGATTAGAGAATCAGAGTCAACCAGTCAATAATCCCTCAGGGAGGATTCCTATTGGTTGTTGATGCTGAGGGAGGGTTCTGATTGGCCAGTTTAAATAGTGAGTTCAGACTGAGAAGAGCAGGAAGATGCTGACATCCAACGTAAACAGTTACACATCATTCGCTCTCAAACACACAGAAAATGTGTTTACTGTCACAGTTTTCCTGATTCGACAGGTTTTTTTCTCGTGTAACATCGTTGTTGTGGTTATGAGGTGAAGGTTACTGGGATTTGATGGTCTAGATGTGAACAGCGACGTCAACCATTTTTCTTTTTAATCTTCTGTACATCTTTTTAGGTTTGGTTGCCACTGAAACGAACAGAGAACTGACAACAGTCAATCAAAATCACACTTATTGATTAGCATAATAGGTCACCGTTACTGGGGCTTGAAAAGGGAGGGGAGAGGGGGCATGCTTGGCCTCTTTTCTGGGAGCTGATTGGCTCTCCTCAACACATACACTAACCAATCACACACAGGAAGGGAACTGTTTGCTTTCTGATTGGTTCCAGCCAATCAGCCAATGTGCCGTCGTCTCTCGCCCTGGCTGCTGATTGGTTGAGGGAAGGAGAGACGTTAGGGTAAAGCCAAGACAGGAAACGGAGTTAACTGGCCTCATTTGTAACATACACACACACACACACACACACACACACACACACACACACACACACACACACACACGTCCGCATACACACAGACATACACAGTGTGGCCAGTCCAACAGCTGTAAACCGTAGAAAAAGATTCTTATTGAACTGCTCAGTGTCATCATCATCATAATTACTCTGTATCTTTCCTTCAGCAGCTCATTTATGGCACAAAACTAAAAATTCCTACAGTAAATTCTCCATCTTTGTGTCTGGGTTGGTAGGGATGCTCCAATCAGTACCAACCGATTCAGAAACATGTTTCAAAATGTCCAAATCGAAATATTTCAGCTAAAAATTGTACATTTCAGAAAATCTGACAGATTCTTTTTAGAGTTTGAATATGCATTCACACCTTCCCAAACAAACCGGAGTTCGTAGACAAAGAAAGTAGAGTTTAATTAAACCGGACTAAACAGGGCTGTAGGGAATACACCCTACACCGACCCGGCCAGACCCAGAAACTCTGCCTTCCTTAACCTGAAACCTCACTCAGTCAAGCTTGGGTTGCTTTTAGTGCTCACCAGAATGTTAAGCAGTGTTTGAAAGGTTATTTTCATTAAGGTTAAATATAATTTTGAACAGGTGCATCCAAAACGTTTGAAACCTGAAGCCCAGAGTGATTTTCTGAAACAAATAGCGGTGATATGGTCTGACTTTCAACCAACGATTTCAGATCATTAAAGATAAAACTGAATCATGTCTTTACTTCAGGTTGTCTTAAAAAAATAAAATCAGTTTTAGACCCTCAGATTGGAGCATCCCTCGTCTCCTTGGCAACCTTTCTATCTATTGTTGGGTTCTGGATTCAGGACTTGAACCCAGTCAGTAGTTGTGCTGCTGTGGTTCTGTGACCACTAGAGCCCGAAGCCGTGATACTGGAACCAGAAGCCATGAAGCAGTGGCCACAAAGTCCACAACAAGAACCAGCAGGTGGTTCTGGACTGATTGGACCAGTAAGCCCATTACCTGTGGCTTTGGCCAGCTTACAAGAGAGGTCCAGGCTTTGTAACCAAGACCAGAATCAATGTCTTGGACCAGTGAAGCCCACTGGCTGCAGTTCTGACCAAGACCAGAACCAACATATCTTTCACCAGACAGGCAGGACAATAGGTCCGGAGTTGAGCTCCTAGAACCAAGAACCATTGACCCAAAAGAATAAAACCATCCAATGTGGTTCTGGTTTCATTGGGTCTCGATCATGCAGATGCTGTTGGCTGCATTCGTGGCTTCGGTTGGACCAGTAACTTTGGCTTTGGACTCAAGGAACCACTTATTCCTGTAGCTCCAGCTGTGACTCCAGTGGGATCAGTTGGCCCAGTATCTTGAACTGGTTCTGGTGATGGTGTGAGGAGGCTTCTTCCAGTCCAGTGGTGTGCTTTTAAGCTGCTTCAGCAGTTCCAAGGGTCAAACTTAAGAGGTCAAAGGCCAACGTTCATCCAGAGGGTGTGTGTAGCACCACGAGAGGTCCACTTTCAACCAGTTTAAGCAAACCAGTTTGATTTCCATTATATATTACTGGCTTCCCCATTGACCTCTCCAGTCCACTCTGGTCATAAGCGGCTGATTCCAGTTTGATCCGGTTCTTGTCTGCTATAAGGAGCTGTTGGTGACCTGCCCCACCCCCAACACGTCTCCCGGTTGGTTCCACTTGATCGGACCGCAGTCTTCCACCTGTTCCACAGAGATCTCTGACGGCCCCACCTCCGCGCTGATTGGCTGAGGGGAGTGCCTGCTGTTGGCCATGCCGTCGTTGTGGTTGGCCAGCGGGGCGGCGCTGGAGGAAGAGGAGGGGTTTCGGCTGATGACCAGTTCCAGCCGGTTTGGAGACTCTGCGATGAGCGGAACGACGAGGCAGCAGTCGAAGTCCCTGGTCCGGACGTGGTTAATCTAACGGGACAAGTTGGGTTGTCAGAACCAGGCTGAAAAAACTTTTAAGTAAGTTTTTTCAGTGCAGTATTTATCTTTATAAGGTACAACTTTTATCGTTATCGCAATAGTACCTCAAAATATTGTAATAAAATTCCCCAAACATTATTGTAACATTAAATTTGTAACTGTCAGGTTCTGTTTGCGGTTCTGTACCTGTAGTATTCGGTCATAGGCACGGAGGCCGCCCTGTTCGGCCGGCCCACCTGGTCGGATGTTATTTACGTAAACGCCACGATCCAACAGTCCGTCTGAGACACTGAATCCGAAATCCTCCAGGTCTGAGGTCTTCTCCAAGGTGAGCTGAAAAACGCAAAACCAGAGTTAAAATGTGATTCTGCAGACGGCAACGCATGAAGGGGGAATTCCCTACCTTATGGAGTTCCACAGGGTTCTGGTTTAGGATGTCGTTCACTTCTTGCCTCATCTTTTTCATCGCAAAGGCTCTGCGTTGGGGGTCAGAGGGCAAGGTGTTGGAGCGCGGGTTCACCTGAGGAAACCAATCGAACGTCACTGAAAACACTTGGAAAACGGCGAACAGTCAGAGTTGGTGAATGAGTCCAAAAGGATTCTGGTACCTGCGGTTTGGAGCTGTTTCGCTCCTGGAAGCTGGACTGGCGACCCAGCGTGCTGCGCAGCGGCGTGGGGTCATGGTTCAGGCTGAGCGTGGAGCCCGACATGATGGTTGCCTGGAGATGAGGAGAGGAAACCAGCAAGCATTAAAACCACTGGAAGGTCAATCCAAGGTCGTCTTAGGATGCTTAACATTACTAGGAACAAAGACTTTTAGTTTGTGGTGTTAATGGGGTTTAACAGCCAGATGCAGATCATTGGACAGAACTGTTCACCTGCCAGAGCTTGGAAATAATTCAGGAGCAGCATCTTGTTATGATGAGTAACATTTACGTTATAACAAGATGTAGAACTTGTTAAAATGTTTTAATATGACCTGTAAATCAACTTATTAAAACGAGAAACATTCTAGATAAACAAGAAACTTTCCAGATAATAAAATACTAAAAACTTGTTTTATTATTAAAACTCTTAACTAATTTTGCTTCAAATGAAACCTAAACCTACAATAAACCTGATTTTAAATGTACGAAGACATTTGCATTAGACCAAAAACAATTGGCAGGATTTTGTGTTTCTGCAGTGCATTTTTCAGTTGATTATTTTGCTGCAGTCCAGATACGTCAGATCAGAACCAGGGACTCACACCATGCACATCTAGCAGGTCAGTCTCTACGTCAGGCCGTGTGCAAACTTTCCCTGCATGCTTCAATCAGCCGCCATGCCTGGTGCAATGAACACGCCATGAAGTCATCGTTTTGCTCTTAGACACACGTTTACAACCAGTTAAAACCAGTCTGACGGCAAGGAAAACCAGTTATGGAGCAGTAAAACGGTTAGTGGAGGAGTCGAGGGAGGATACCAGTGTGAGGAGGCCCGTCTCGTTTCCAGAATCCTGGAAGAAAAGCAATTGCATCTCTCTTTTTCTGATGTGAGCGTCTAAATGTTTGAGGAAGTTACTAAAACTGTAAAAAAATAAAAAGCATTATAATTGTGATTCTATTGGTTAAACTCCAGCACTGAATTTGCAATGAAAACAAATACAGAAACAAACCGGAAATAACTACTGATCAATACCTGTAGAAAAACAATCTGTTCAGGAATCAGTTTAGAAACAAAAAAGAATCTGTTCAGTGAAAATGTTAAAACTCAAGAAAAGTCTGGATTGTTGTTGGTGTCAGTGATCCTCTAAAAATCTGCAAAAAAACGGGAATCGTGTTCAGATTAAGGAATCTGATGGAAATAAGGAATCTGTTCAGAGTTCAGGAACCTGTTCAGAGTTCGGGAATCTGTTCAGAGTTCGGGAATCTGTTCAGAGTTCAGGATTCTGTTCAGAGTTCAGGATTCTGTTCATAGCCTTGTAAACCTTCAGGCTCCTTCGCACTAAAAGCCTCGATGTTCTCAATGTCTTTACGTACCTCCAGCTCTCGTAAGATGCCGCTCTGACCGCACGTCTCCAAGTCCTCCAGCGCCTGAGACCAGAAGTTCTCCTCCTGGTCGGGTTCGGTTCCGTCGTGGCCCACGGAGAACCTGCCGGGGAAGGTGGGAGAATTGACCAATCAGAACGAGGAACAGCTTGATCCAGACACAGAAACACGCAGCGGGCCGTTCATGCTGGCGAGGGAACAAAGACGGTCCACACATCCCGCTTGTGGATGTGTCATAGGGGTCAAAGGTCACCAGGTGAGGGTGGACAGGGAACTGTGTGTTTGTGTGGTGGGGGTCAAAGGTCAGTTTGATACCTGCTGTCAGTGATTTTTCCACTGGGCAGATTAGAGCCACTGCAGACAGAGACACACTGTTGTTACAGAGGAACTGGAGGAACTTAAACCCAGACACAGGTCAAAGGTCAAAGAAGCTCAGCAGGGAGATTAACACCGATCAGTAAAACAGTTACAATTGTATTCAATTCAATAAAACTTTATTCATCATCAAAGAGCAATTTAACATGAAAATCTGCTGTCATCAGGACGAACGAACAGACGGACGGACGGACGGATGGATGGAGGGATGGATGGATGGATGGATGGATGGATGGATGGATGGATGGATGGATGGATGGACGGGTGGATGGACGGACGGACGGACGGACGGGACGGACGGATGGATGGATGGATGGATGGATGGATGGAGGGACGGATGGATGGACGGGTGGATGGACGGACGGACGGATGGATGGATGGATGGATGGATGGATGGATGGATGGATGGATGGATGGATGGATGGAGGGACGGATGGATGGACGGGTGGATGGACGGACGGACGGATGGATGGATGGATGGATGGATGGATGGATGGATGGATGGACGGACGGACGGACGGGTGTATGGACTAACAAACAAATAGATAGGTGGATGCTTCTTCACTCCTGGAAAAGCTTAAATTAAATGGCCACCAACCAATACTCCCCGTATTTCGGACCAGTCTGACCAGTAGAACCAGTTGGTCCAGTGGAACCAGTCGCTCCAGTGGAACCGGTTGGACCAATAGAAGCAGTCTTCCCCTGAACACTAACACCACCACCACAGAGCGTCCTCTCACCCTCCGAGCGGCGGGCGGTCCCAGTCGTCGTCGCTCAGTCCCAGATCCGACAGCGGATTGGCTCTCTGCCTGGCGGACGATTGGCTGTTGGTCGTCTTGACGCCGCGCCACTCATGGAAGCTGTACGACTGAAAAGGCGGAGCTGCAGAGACAGACAGGTTGGAGCAAACGGACTCGGCGGGGCGTGAAGACTAACGGCGGGCGGTGAACCTGTCGTGGAGAAGCTGCTGTCCATGTTGGACCCGTCCCAGGAGTCCACGGCGCTGTCCACTGATGGCAGCGTGCTGAACGCTCTCTGATTGGTCGGAGGCACCACAGTGATGACAGGCTCCTCCTCCCCATCCTGGCCATCCAGGTTAAGCCCCGCCCCCAGGCCTGGACCAATCACACAGGTCTTTGGGCTCGACACTGCAGACAGACGAGGCGTTCAGAAAAAAGAAAATAGTGAAATATCTTCACGTTTCTAAGTTTATTCTGAGTTAGTATAATAAACGTCATGTTTAGAGCTTCCTACTCACGCTCTCCTTGCTTCTTGATCTTCAGAGTGACCGTCTCTCCCGCCTGCTGCAGCAGACTGATGGCTTCGCTCAGAGGCTTCCCCTTCAGGCTGCTGCTGTTGATCGCCAGGATGCGGTCGCCCACGTGGATCGCCCCCGTCCTGCAGGAAACAAACACAAACACACATTCTTCATAATTTTGTTTAACATACATTTTTATTTATTTTTTTGAGTGAAAACTAGACACACTGCATCAGAGTGAGAAACATTTTAATTCACTTTTAAATCAGGTTGAAATAGAAAGTTTTGTTCAAAACAGATAATAAAAACACTAAGTTAGAAAATAAGTTTCAACTCTTAAATCTAAATAGCACTTTAAATAATTATGAAAATTGTGTCAAAAGCAGCTAAAATAAACTGAAGTTCTAGTATTTTCACGAACAGCAGGGGGCGACATTTCCACATTATTTCAAATCCTGATTTCTGACTTTGCTGCACTTCATGTTTTATTCCTGCCATTCGTGTCATTGTGTAACAGAAACAAATATTTAATCAGTTTGACTTCTTTTATTATTTTTATCGATTGTGCTTCTTCTTTTCACGAGCTTCTCTTAATGAAACGAGAAGAATCTTCTTGTTAAATAAAAATAAAACAACAAATGGAGATGTTTTCACCTTGAAATCAACTCAATTAAATGTAATTATTTACTTAAACTGGATATCTTTTTGCTTTTCTTTGTGAAGTACCTTGAGTTTGACTTTACCTTCGACTTTGACTGGTCCATTCGCACACCATCTTTTTGTTTTCTTATTAAATAAAATCCCATCAAAACACATTAAATGTTGTGGTTTTAACCTGACAAACATCTGAATAATCAAGTTTTTTGACTATCTTTGCAGGAAAGTTGGCGTACCTCTCAGCAAGCCCTCCTTTGCTCAGCGAGGAGATGATGATGGGGTCAAAGGGCTCCTCGGTGCCGGAGATGGTGATTCCTAACGGGCCACCGTACCGCTGCAGTTCCACTGTGTAGATGATGCTGCCGGACACTTCCTGCTCATCTGGAACATCGAGAAAATGGTGGAAAACATGAACATGTCCATTTAGTTTAAAAAAAAGAAAATCAGTGGAGGATCTGATTGGAACTGGTACCAGAGTTGTCTTCGTCTTTGCGGATCTTGAGTTTGACGAGTTCCTCACACTGCTGGAGGATCTGCACGGCCTCCTCCATGGAGCAGTTCTCCACCCGGATGTTATCGATGGCCAGCAGCTTGTCTCCCAGCTCCAAGGTTCCCGTTCTGGGAGGAAAACACATGAACAGCTTGAATTCCTGCAGCTGTACAGGACCAACACTCCGACTCCTTTATGTTCTGATAGTGATGGTTAGGAGGAGAGAGCCGGTTCTTCTGGAGAACCAGCTCTCATACTGAACCAGTTCTTGTAGGAAAAGAACCAGTTCTTGTAGTTTTAAATTTGATTTGAATCAATTAGTGAAATCAATAATGGAATTGGTAACACTAAATTCTTCTCCAGTTTCATCCTGTTTATGGAGTAAAAGGTGACATGATTTCTGTTCTGCCAGGACCTGGTTCTGCTAGCCCAGTCTACTAGAATCACAGCTGAAAGCGTCTTAATGTGTCTAAAATAAACCGTTTCCATGAGCCGAGCCTGCAGGTGAGTCTGGGTTTTACCTGTGAGCGACGCTGCCTTTCTTAATGTCGGAGATGATCAGAGGGTCGCCTGGTTTCCTGTTGGACGGAGCTTCACACACAAGAGGGAAATTTATCAATTTTAGGTGTTGGTGTAAAATGCATCAACATTTCATTAAAAAAAGAAAACCAGCGGTGCAAAATTAAAATTAAGAGAAGCTTGGAGATAATTGACACCCTGGTGTAAATGCTTTGTGCCTCTGATGCTCCACTCCTGCTTCCAGCAGGATTTGGGTCAAAGATGGCCGTGGAACCAGGTTGATTTTGTGTCTGATGAACCATCTTTGAGTTAATTATTCTGCTGTGATGACCCATTTGCAGATTGTTGGCTGATTTTTGCTTAAAATCTCCTGACGACACAAACTGTAACAAAGACCTTTGGAAGAGAAACAGGCCAGCCTGACTAAAGCTGCAGCGAAAGATTATTTTAGTGATCGATTATCAATTATTCAGTTAAAAAAAATGACGCAATCTGCAGATTTTTAATTTAAGCACTTAACAGTTTTTATACAATACTAAAGCACATTAAACATACAATAGAATAATTAAATAAATTTTTAAATAACAAAATAAATACTATGGATAGTATTAAATCAAATGGATAGATGTTTTGCCCAGAATTAGCTTCAACACGACTGGTCATAATGTTTTGCCAGTTTATTTGTGAACTCACAGCTGATGGTGATTCCCAGCTCCACTCCTGGTTTTTTTGGGAGTTTCACATGGAACGTCCCGGAACTGGGAATGACGGACTCTGAGACAGAGAGAAGGTTCATTCCAATGTCATGAGAAGGTCACAGCACTGAGGCCAGGATAGAGATGGCCTAAACAAAACATATTCATTACATTTCTGCACAAAATTATTCTTAAGTAATGTTTTAGGACCTTTGTCACGTTAAATCCAAACAAACTGCTGGCAAAGCCCCCAACTCAACGTTCACTCTCGCATAAAAATGGCTGCAAAACAGATGCACAGTTATAGAACCGTGCATCTTTGAAAAGCATTAGTAGAGAGTCCTGCGCAACCAGCAAGAATGCCGGAAGTAGTTTCAGGAAGCTAAGTGAACAAAAAAATATTTGTCCATGTAAAATCAGCTAACTGTCCTGGAACTCTGCCGGGGTTGCCAAGTAACGGGCGGAACTCTGCTGGGGTTGCCAAGTAACGGGCGGAACTCTGCTGGGGTTGCCTGGCAACAGTGGAATGTGACGTCACATTCAGAAGGTTTTTGAAACAGCTTGTTTTTCAGACACCAAAAAAAAACATTGACTAATTGGCAAAAAACAGCTGGGTGTTTTTTTATAAAAACGCCTGGCCTGTTTGTAGAAGCAGCTAGGACCAAAACTGAACCATAAAAACATGCAAAATAGGAATTTTTTCTTAGAAGGAGCCCTTTAAAAGCCAAACAACTGGAGATTGTCTCAAGTTTTATGAAGTATGTTATCAGAGGAATCTCCACCACTCCGCCTGTAAAAGCCACACAATGTGTCTGTGAGTCATCCCTGACAGCATGCTATGTTGTTGTATTAAACTCAGACGTGGGCGGTTATTTATACCAGCCGGACGTGTTTCATTCACAAAGCAGAACCAACCACAGACTGTCGCTGTTCATCAGTCAGAACAACAAACATGCCCGCAGCCTGGAAAAGCGTCGCGCTCACCTGCCACGTCAAACTCGATCTCCAGCGTGAGCTGCGCCGTGATGGACGAGTCTCTGAGCAGCTGGTTGGTTTCCTCCAAGGTCGAGTCTTCGGTCGGGACGCCGTTAATCGACAGGATCCTGTCACCGATCTGCAGGATGCCACACCTGCACAAACACAGAAATCAAACACAGAAATCAGAAACATTTCAAACTGAAATGTTTCTAACTGAATGGTTTAATAACAGCAATTAAAATTTCAGGGCCTCCATGAAAAAAACTAATCTTGATCAACATTATTATCCTTTATTTGGAGCCATATAAAAGAAAAACATCCATCTTGTAACGTTCACTGGAGAGAAGAGAAAATATACTTACATCAACACGAATATATACATTAACAAAGGATAAGAATCATCACAAAATAATATTAAATATAATAAAATATAATGTGTATCTTTTAAAAATTATGAATTAAATTATTATATTTAGTAATTGTGTGACGTATTGGTGCAAACTGTAACCATAATTAATTTGAGCTGCGTATAACGTACATTAAACATGAGTTCAGGGTAAACTGTCTCCCTATTCTATTACATTTTGCATGAAACTTGTAACTTCTACTTGTTTTCTCTCATGTGATGTAAATATTCTGACATATTTTGGGTGTTTTTCCAACTGATAGTTCAGTAGAATCAGTTCAACTGGAGACATTTCTTGTTAAATTTTTCACCAGCCGTTAAACCTTTGAGGAAGCTGTTCCCCTCCTCGCCTGCGGGAGCGCTGCACCAAGAACAACATTAAAAACCTCTGAAGAAGGCACTGAGCGCAACTTCCTTCTTCATCGAATGAAAACAAAAACGGAGTAGCATCAAATTTCAGCGGTTGTGGTATTTCTTTTTTTGTGTGTGTGTTTTTTGGTAAAAAACGAGTTCCTTTTGCCCGCTAGCGCTAGGTTAGCACATTAATTTTGGTTGCATTTACCCAGAATCCTTTGGGCTGAGAGGCGGGTAGAATACCCAAAAATAGTACTCCAGTAAGAGTAGCACTACTTTAACATATTTTTATTGAAGTAAAAGTAAAAAGTCCATCCCAGAAATTCATCAAGAAATAGTAAAAAGTATTTGGCAAATGAAGCATGAAGATAATATTATGAGAAAAACCAAAATATAAAGTTATGTGGACGTTTAAAGACCAAAATGAGAATAATTCATAAAAACAAAGTTATCAAATAAAATCAGGCAAACAAGCATTTTTCCAAATAAATTTCTTTCCATAAGAGACAAAAACTGCAGATTTGTGTCTAAATTTGTTGAATTTTGAGTTAAAATTTGTGAAATGACTGACAGTATAAAATGTCCAAAGTGAACCTGCTCACCTCTCTGCAGGGCTGTCCGGGTCAATGTAGGCGATGAGCGGCGGCGACGACAGCGTCTCCGTCGCAAAGACTCCGCCTTGGAGCTGCAGGCCAAACCCCATGATGCCGTCGCCCAACAACGTGACCTCTGTGGTTTCCGTGTGGACGACCTGACCGGCGAGGCCGACCGTGCTGGAGGCCAGAGACACTGCAGACGAACAGCACAGTTACTGCTGGGCCGACGAATCAAGTTTATCAATTTGGATTTGTTAAGTTTTATAAGATTTAATCGTCTGGAAAGGTGTTATTTCCCAGGGCGGCCATCTTGTTTCACAACCGTTCACACTTTGAATTCAGGTGAACTCTAGGATGAAATATTAGGGCCAGGTCACAATTTGTATTTTTTATTAAGAGAAAAAAAGTCAGAATATTTCAAGAATAAAGTTGTACGACAAAAAAAAAAAAAGAAAGTTGTAATATGAGGAGAATAAAGTCAAAATTTTATGAGAAATAAAAAGTTTTATCAAACTTGAGAAATGTTGAGCATCTTGTGAAGTTATGTTTTGGTGTAAGATTTACAGATAAATACTACTAGAATAAAATCACAAAATTACAGGATAAAATCATACTTTTATGAGAACTCCAACATAAAAAATAAAAAATGAGAACTAAACATGGAGCATTTTGTGAAGTTATACTTTGGTCTTTCAAATAAAGCTAAATAGAAGCAGATTAGCATAAAATTATTATCATGAAGCGATGATGGAAACAACTGAGTTTATTTCAAAGAAAGAATAACAAACTGATAAATAAACTTAAAAACATTTTTTTCTTAATTTTTAAGCAGTTTAGTAGTGAAGTTTTGTCTTTTTCTACTAATATTACAACTATATTCTCGTAATTAAGCAGAAATGCTCAGAGCCCGGTCCTGATACTCCATGTCCAACTCAAAGATGGGATCATTCCTGGTTTCTTTTTCAGAAGAGAAAGCGAATCGGTCAGCTTTTTATCTGGACTCACAGGAGCTTTTGAAGTCCTTCTTCTTGGCCTTCCTCCTCATCATGGTGCTGCGCGGACTGGTGGGATACATGTTCCTGGGCAGAGTGCTCATGTTGAGGGACGACAGGCTGTAGGCCGACATGGAGCCGGGAGAGAACGAGTGGCTGAGAGCTGCAGAGACACGGAAACCCCCATTATCGAGTTTTTGGGTTTGGTTTTACGCATCAAAACCAAACCAAAAACCAAGGAGAGAAGACGTACGAGGGTTGTTTGTATGGCGGTTGTGGGATCTGGCGCCTGATTGGTCGGGGTGGTAGGTGTTGTAGTGGTAGGGAGGGAGGATGGGGGCGGAGCCTCCAGTTTCCCAGGGAAGGGGGCGGGGACTACGCTGCACCTTGACTGCACATGCACACAGGCACAACCATGCACAAGGAGGAGGAAGGAGAGGTTAAAACAAAGGGACAGGACGAGGGTCAAAGGTCAGGGAAGGTCTCGACTTTAAGAATGCTTCATAGGAGTCTAATTTTTGGAAAATGTGGATTTATTTCCCCCCCAAAGTGATGTCATAACGCCCACGGCGGCCATCTTGTTTACAGCTTCTATTTGTCTGAATCTATTTGAATTCAAATCAACTCTGAGACCCAGGCTGTGATTTTTTAAAATTTTTGATTACAAGAATAAAGTTACAACACTACGAGAATAAAGTCAAAATTTTATGAAAATTCAGACACAAAAAAAATAAAAATTGTAAAAAAAAAAATTGCTGGGCATCTTGTGAAGTTAATTAATTAATTAAGCAAATATGACATTTGTGAAATGCAAATGATGAGCTAGCATCTGTTATTAATTAAAGTTATTGTTAACTGGCTATTTCAAAGAAAGAACTACATGAACTGAGATGCTCACATTAAATCCTGATTCATAAAAAAATTACTTTGTATTTTAATAATTTTCTGATGAAATCTTATTTAAACTACAATTTTTTGTAATTAAACAAAAAAAATTGTAGCTTGGCCCTAATACTGATGACAGAAATAAAATTTAATTTTTAAACATATTTTCTGTCATTTTTTTAGAAAAGAAAACAAGCAAAAAAATGTAATAAAATTGATTCAAATTGGATGAAAATAATTGGAGATTTTACTTCTGAGCCGCATCTTCCAGCCTCTGCAGAAATTTAATTCAGCTTGTGAAAAAAAGCCGCCATACATCTCCTTTAAAAATCACTCTGAGGTGCTTTCAAGGCCTCTCAGTGCACTGAGTTTGTTCAGGGCTCATTAAGTTTGATGTGTATATGTTTACAGCGTGCTGGGGGACGTTCCGCTCCGCCTCATAATCACTTTGTTTCTGCAGAGATCTGACACATTCAATGTATTTCCAAACTGCCTTCAAGGGGAGTTGGGCATAAATCTGCAGGCTCTCCAAGTGCAGTTTTTCTGTGTTACCGTGCTGCGGTGCGTTCAGGGCCGGTCGGGCCTGGTGCTGTGGCAGAATCTCCATGCGGACAGTTTGACAGGAAGCAGAGAGAAGCTGAGTGGCTTCAGCCAGAGAACAGAACTCCATCGACTTCCCGTCAACAGACAGAATGTGATCCCCGGCATGAAGAGCGCCACACCTGCACAACCACATGACCAAAGCATGTCTGGGCGTAAACATTGTGCATGAAGGGTGAAAAGATCCAATTCAATCTACGCTTGAATTGGATCAGAGCGTCAGACTCATACCTGTCTGCTATGCTGGCTGGTTTGACTTTGTCGATGATGATGACCTGCTTGCTGCAGAACATGGAGGTGGACAGCGCCACGCCCAGGCTGGATCCCGCCGCCTTGGCGACCTCAACCAGCAGGGGCCCCGACGCCGTGGCGACCGAGTCTGAAAGGGTGAAAACAGTCACTGGCTGCCGTTCCACAGGGCTCCGTCCTCAGAAAGCTGACATTTCATGCACTCACATGGTTTTATAGCAGCAGTTTGTGGGTTAAATTATATGAAAATTACCTGTAATTTTTTTCCAAACTCGCCTGTTGTGTCTTGTTTGAAGTTAAATGATCAAAAGATTGATTAAAATTGAATAAATAAACGAGGTTCTGTTATTTAAAACCTTTCTGTAACTTACAAATAAACATCCTAAACAACAAAACAAACATTTTACACTGAAGCGGCTGAAATCATGACTTGCTGTGAAAATAAAAAGCGAACTGACCCATCACCGACACGTCGTACTCGATGAGCAGCGTGGCCTCCTGGCCGCACTGCTTCAGGATGCTCATGGCCTCCGACAGCGTGCTGCCATGCAGGCGAATCCCATCGATGCTCAGCAACCGATCGCCCGGCTTGATCGTTCCTTCTCTGCAGAACGACAGCGTCGGGTTTTAGCTCCTACAGAAGCTCCAGAGGGACAAAAAGTCTGTAGAGGTCGGTACCTTTCGGCGGGTCCGCCCGGCCGGACGGTTGTTATGACGATGGGGCGGGTCTTATTCCTGTCCTCATGCGTTCCTCCTATAACGAACACGTCGCTTTAGAATGTTGCTCGTTTTTATTTTTGAGACGCTCAGACACAAACCGAGCCGCGCTCACCTCTGATGACGAAGCCGAAGCTGTTCCCATCTTTGTGAAGCGTCACTTCCACATTTTTAAAAATGACCCCTGACCCCTGCACAGCTGCAACAGAAACACATCGTCAACACACACAGGTACAAACCTTCTGTATGTGGAACTAAATCAGATCCGACTTTTGTAAAAGCGTCTGAAATCTGAAATGTTGCATTTAGGGCTGCAACTAATGATTATTTTATTAGTCAATTAATCAAATATTCTGATTAATGATGATTGTGATCATTAATTGCATTAAAAAATTGTCACGTTCTGCAGATTTTTTATTAAACTGCTTAAGCATTCTCTATACAATATGATAAATACATTAAACAATAGAAATAAACAAATACATTAAATTTTAAATAAGAAAATAAACATTTTATTGGGTAAGATGCCATAATGCAGCATTTCTTTAGTAAATTTGAATCCGGTGAATCGGAAAAAAAATTTGTTTTGGTAAAATATATATCCAGACAATCAAGGTTTTATCATAAATGCGAAATGTTTATAAATTTTGTACAGTTTTGGCTTAATTACTGTTATGAGTATATTGTTCAAGTTTTTAAAAGGAGAGTTGAGATTAACCTCAACGTTTTTTAGTTTATTTTTCACAAATTTTTAGATATTTGTAACTTTTTTGCAGAAATGTAAAAAAAAAACATTTTACAATGGACCTAAAGCACCATTGTACTAACATATTGCTCCAACAGGTCAAAATGTTCAAAAATGAAAGGGATGTAAATGCTGTTGGAGGATTAAAGTAGCGCCTAAATTCAAAGCTCAATAAACTGCAGGTCCTTGGAGGGAAAGTCTGAACACGCTGAGTCACTTACAGACGGGCGGCAGCTCGTACTCGACCTCCAGCACCACGCGCTCCCCGACGTTCTTCAGCAGGCTGATGATCTCGTCGTGTCTGAACTTGGCCAGGTTGATGCCGTTGACCGAGCGGATGTAGTCGCCCACATTCAGCTGGTCACTCCTGAACAAACAGTTTTATAAAACGATTCATTTAAAGCTGATAATTCTGAGATGGAAAACATAGACTAAGGAGAAATAAAAAACTTTATGATGAAAATAAACTCAGAATATTACAAGAATGAACTCAGAATAAAGACATAAAGAAATAAAGGAATAATATTGCCAGAATAACTCCTGTAAAAACAGTTTGCAAGTAAAATCAAAAACATTAAGAGAATAAATTTTAAATGTCACACAAAAATCAGAACTGTCAGAATAAAGTGCCAATATTATGACTTTATTCTCACATTTTTTCTTTTCTTAGTGTGACAACTACAGCTTTTCCAAAAGTAAACGGGGAACCAACACCCAAAAGGACCTGCAGCAGTTTCTGGGAATCCTTTAAATGTAGACAAAATTAACTGATATCACCTGGCAGCGATCCCTCCTTGTCGCAGGTTCGAAACCCGAGGCTTTCCGTCTTTGTCGATTCCTCCTGAAACGGTGAGTCCGAGCGTCGTTCCCTCCTTCTTCATCAGCTCCACCACCGTGCAGCCCCGAAACTCATCTGGAAAACAGGGCCCTGCGGGTCATGGTCAGCGTTTCTGCGACAGCGCAGCAGCACCATGCAGACAGGAAACACGTCTTTTCCACCAAAAAAGAAATTAACTTTGAGTTCGAAAGGAGGAAAATCAGCTTTAAAAAGTTCAGAAATTCTGAGACTAACCTCAGAAGAAATTTATCAGTTTGAAAAGTAGAAAATCTGCAAGAAACAAAGCTCAGAAATGTTATTTCAAACATTTTCTAAAAAAAAAGAAAAAAAAGGAATGTCTGAGCTACAAAAGTTGATATTTGCTCAAAATAATCTGACATTTTCCAGAAAAAAATAATGAAATTTGAATTTAAAAAGAGCTTGAAAATCAACCTCAGAAGTTAAAATAAATAACCTTTCTCAAAGTTTCAGGGTTTTTTAAAGCATTTTTTTCACTTTTCAAGCTCAGAAATTTTCTTGTTTTTTCTATAGAATCTCAGAGTTTTTTGGTGGAAATTTTCTCTGTTTTCCATCTACGATGACGCTAACACGCCGCCGTAGTGTTTCTCTAAAACACAAGGAGAAATTAAATAATAACCCCAATAAAACAGAAAAGAAGTCATCCTGGTCTGTCGGCCATCTATTTTTTATCAAACCTCTGAATTATTCAGCAGAGGAAGCGCTGGGCGCGAGGAAACTACAGAGCTGCTGCCGCTGCTGCGATGTGAACCGTCCTCAGGTGGTAAAACAGACATCTGGATTTCACTCCGTCGTTGGATTTTAATATTAACGAGTCAGGGATTCACCTCGGTTCATTCAGCCAAGATTACGACAGTTTCACAGACAGCAGCGAACAGCGACTCCATCTAAAAAAAGAAAACCTCCGATCTTTGATTCTGCTCCCGTGTTTGATGAAGCAGCTCCCTGCAGCTGCAGAGGAGCCGCTTCTAAAATTGTTTCTTCACAAAACGGCTTTTTTTACTTAAAGGAGCTGAGGAAGAAAGCCAGCCTCACAGGAAGCTCTATTTCTGTAGACGGGCTCTTTGCAGCCTGAATGTGAACTGTGCCTCCTCTGTTTCACCGCCGATGAAGCAGCATCAACCTGCAGTCTCTGTGCCAGCAGTTCAACCAGGAAATTTAACCCGCAGCACTTTTTAAAGGTTTAATTTTAACTGAGATTTAATGGAAATGCAAAAAACATTTAATTTTACCAACTGCTTGTTCAGCTGGGAATGTAAATAGGAATATCTACTTGACTTTATGAATTAAATATATAAATAAAATAATCCAGTTAAATTTAATTAAAATTTTACACAAAGAAGCAAATAAAATACAGAAAAAAATAAATAAAAACAATAAAATAGTGCAATTACATTAAAATAATTCAGAATAAAAGAAGTAGACTGTATTAATAATAATTATTATTATTATAAAGCATTGCAAAAATTATAATATATAAAATTTGAAGCAATATTTTATGTCAAAACAAATAAACTGTCAAAGACATTTAATCACAATAATAAAAAACAAGATGAAATAAAATAAAAATTCAAAAAATATTTTAACCAAAATCAAATAACTAAAATATAACCCAGTTAATGTTAAACAATTAAAAAAATATATTTGACTTTATAAACCCAAAAAAGAATTAAATATGCCTAAATATAATTAATTGAAAATAATTTAAAAAAACATATTAAAAAAAAAAATCCAAACCAAGTAGTTACAACACATAAAAATAAAAATATAAGTAAATAACGCTTAACAAAATTAGATAAACAATATTTAAGATCTTAAATTGTACATATATGTACAGAAAATGAAAATATTTGAAAAATTAAAGAAAATCCAAATTAAGTCAATAAATATAAGAAGGCAAATAAAAAAGAATCTAAATAACTAATAAAATAAAACCAAAAAATACTAAAGTGTTTCTAGCAGCAACAGTTTCAAAGCAGAAAACCATCAAATGTCTCCAAGTGATTTTCTTTTTACTGGTCTTACTGGTGTAAACACGTTAAACAAACATTTCCACCAGTTTCTGTAAATAGTTTCAATTCTTCCTTGTAACAAGCACCAATTTCTTTCTGGCAGGTTTTCACAGACAGCAGTTCTAACGAGGCCAGCAGCTCCAGGTGGGAGCAGATAAAGTGCAAACAAAGCATCTTGCTACAACTAATGGGCGGAGAACACCAGCTGTACCTGTTCTCCACTTTTACCTGCCGTCTTCATAACTCCCAACCACAGGAATCCCAGTAACCCATTTTAAACCATCAGCAGGATGATGGTGGGAGTGTTACCTGGAATACTCTGCCTCCTGATGGCCAGCGCTCCGTCTGGAGGTCGCGACCCGGCCGAGTGCTTCGTGTACGGCCCTTCATCTGAAAGGAAAACACACAAAAACACACCATCATTTACTGATTTAAACTCCAATCAGCTGGATTCAGAACAACACTTCCAACTGGTTTTAATTCACTTCAGACTTCCCACCAACAACTACTGGTTAGTTTCAAACATATCTTCAATCATTCTGGGAATGACTTTTTACTTGTCTAGAAAACAACTTTTTTAATTTTAATTTTTGTTTAATAAGTAAAACAAAAAGTTTAAGATAAAAAACTGTCAGTAAATACAGACTAATGGTTGGATTTAATTATGAGTTTTAATCCAGGTAGAATCTCAGATTATTAAAAGAAAACACCAAAAGAACCAAAAGTTTCCCATCGAGCTCTTTCTGTTTTATCTCCCTCTTTACCCTTATTATATTTTGGCTTCCTGTTGGGCTGTAATTTATTCTAATCGGATCTGGATTGGCTCTGTTTGGTTCCAGCAGCCGAGCTCAGAAGCAAAATGAGATTGTGGAAACAGTTCATGTTTTCCAGCCATTGTGAGGACATCCCCATCCTGGAGGCTCAGCTTGAACTGAATTCAGTTTCTGACCCTAAATCTGCGTCGTTCTAATAAAATGTCAGGATTGTTTTTATTTCGTTCTCCAAATTGAATCCCCTGAATGTGATTGTTTCAGGTTTTGGTCCCCAGTAGACTTGTAACACACACACTCACATTCAGACCATATCTAAGTGAAGATGAAAGCAGAGCCTCCTCCTCCTCCTTCAGATGTAGGGCAGCAGCATCCAGCCTTTTCTGTGCTCTGCGACACTACTATGTACTCAACATGCTCCGTATAATACTGCATACGGCTCAAATAAAAGCTTCGGCTGAAATGCTGACGTAAATTCACTCAGATTGAGGATTAAATTTGCATTTGCAGTGATGCTAAAATATAAACAAGCGATGTTTGTTGCGTCAGGACATCCTAAAATCAGGTGAACAGCAACAAAACATGACACATCACACCATCTCATCATTTATTCATTAGAAATTAAACCCAAAAGCAGGAGCGGGGAGTGAAAACCAACCCTGTGCGTCTCCACATGAGGGAAAGTAACAGCAAAGGATCTTTAAACGCGTTTGAAGGGAGTCAGTACTTCTGCAACCAGCGTAAAATAATAACCTCGTTGTAGTTTGACTTGTTGATTTGTTCTGATTTCCTGATGTATTTTAGATTTTGAGCAAAAATGATTGGATCCTTTTGACTTTTATGAGTGATTCTACAATCACTCATCAGTTCATGTTTTGTGGCATCTGGAAAATGAGTCGTTTCAAAAACCTCTGGAAAGTAATGCAACAAATCAGCAGGCACTGCCCGTTACCTAGCAACCCAGGCAGAGTTCCGACCGTTACCTAGCAACCCAGGCAGAGTTCCGACCGTTACCTAGCAACCCAGGCAGAGTTCCGACCGTTACCTAGCAACCCAGGCAGAGTTCCGACCGTTACCTAGCAACCCAGGCAGAGTTCCGACCGTTACCTAGCAACCCAAGCAGAGCTCCAGCTTGTTTCTACTGCTGTATGTAAGACAAGCGGCGTGTTTTTGATCGATTTGTTGTAACAGATAGAAAAATTCCACTACTGTATTCACACGGCTGGTTTAACTGCTGTTTGTGTCTCACCCTTTGCTGCATTCCTGTTGGTTTTGCAGGAGGCGCTACTATTGCTTTTTAAAGATGTAGAGTTGTATAATTGCGCATCTGTTTGAAATGTTGAGTTTATGTAGATGTAAAGTGATGAGTCCCTAAAACTGGGCAGAACTGAAAAGACAAAAATTTCATTATTATGTAAAAAAAAAAAATCTGCCGAACATGTTTTGTATAGGCCATACGCACCAACCCTAACCTGTTGAAACGAATCATCAATCACCTGCACAAACCCTGGACAGTAATCAAGATTTAAATGAGTCCATTTGTCCAGCCCCGCTTGGACAAATGGACAAACAAGAATAAGAAGAGTTGAAGTGCTGAAACGTCCCAGTCAAAGCTCAGACCTTAAGAGAGCTTCAGATAACCGATGTAACAAACAGCTCAGGTCAGTTTGTTGTTTTGACGAAGGTCTCCTCTCAGCGCCTGCAGATCGATTCGGTTGTTCTGATCTGCAGATTCCCTTCATCCTGCGGTGAAGCAGCAGGGGGTCCCTGAACAGATCGATGGCTATAAACTTTGATCGCTGCTGGCAGAAACCGTCTGGATAACACCTTCTCAAGTTCTGGCTTTCATTTTGGGAACGCATAATGTAATAAAGTACCTCATTATATCCCCTAAATGTCTTTAAAAATGTGCCGCCCCGATGATCTGAGACTTGCTGCTTATTAAAAATAAACAATATTTGCATTTACATTCATTACTCTTGTCCTGCAGCTACTATGTAGGGTTTCAGAGCTGAGCTGTGTTTTCAGTTGTATATTTAATATCCTCTGAGGAATACAGCGACACACTGACGCTCCGTACCTTATTATAGACTCATTCAAAGTCGTTTAAAATACACAGGCGAACCGAAAGAGCAGCGGCTGTGGCGGAGACAAAGCTTTTCTCCGAGGGTTAAATTCAGACGTTAAGAGGTGCTGCTTTAAAAACCACCGAGTCGAGATGTTTGGCTGCAAGAGGAAACCTACTGAGCCACTTAAAAAGAGCTGCGAAACTTCAAATGGAGGCAAAAATGATGAAAGTTATTCCCCAGCTTGATCCTGGGAGTCCTGGGGCTTGGAGTGGAGGACGGGTCCAACTTGCTCAAGTGTTTGCTGTGATTCCCGTAATTAAAAAGGAAGAAGAGGGGAAGAGCAGAGCCAAAGTCAGAGTCTCAACAGATTTCAGGCAGACAAGGTTCCGGTTTCCAGTCTGGTTCTGCTGCTGGGACTCGGAGGAAGCAGCTCCTTTGATCCAATAAACCATCTGCTGTTCAAAAGGTTCAATATTAGGGTTTTTAATAGACATCAAAATATAGATAACAAAAGTAAAGAACATTCAGATCACATCTTCTTGTTAATTTGTGAATACACAAAATTAATCCAATAAATTAAATGTCTGGGAATACGGCTCAAAAATAAAATCCCTGATATTTTTCATATCAGATCCAATTAAATGACTTTGTTTTCTAAAACAAGAGGAAATATTCTTAAAAAGTGGATTTTATTTCAATCAACCCGCCTCTGAGTTGAGTATTGGAGTCAGGCTGTGTGAATTTTGGTTAAATTACGATGGAACAGTCTGCGGGCGCTTCAACGTTACCTAGCAACCCCGACAGAGAGCTGCCTGTTACCTAGCAACCCCGACAGAGAGCCGCCTGTTACCTAGCAACCCAGCCAAAGTTCTGCCCGTTACCTAGCAACCCTGCCAGAGTTCCAGCATGTTTGGTTAGCAGGTTTTACTGCTCTCTAAAATTCTACTATGCCTGCTATATATATTTAAAAAAAATATATATATATTTTTTTCTACCATAAATGGGATGATAATCCATAGGAAAAAATTTTAACAAAAAATATTTACGCTACACCTTATTTGAACACTTACAGCACAGATTAGAAATTATGTTTGATTTTACTGATGTTGTCAGAGGAAGGAAAGCTAAGTTTTAAAATTTCTAGCAACTCACTATAATTTTTATTTCTCCTCTGATTTATTATTTCATGTAAAAAACAAACATAAAATCAAAAGAAGCAAAAGAAACAGAGCAGAAAGTGGCCTGAAATAAACTCCAACTGGCAAAAATGTTTTGTTCCAACACTGTTTGTTCAGGATTTAACCATTCAGACCTAATTTGGATGTTGTCTTCACCTCGTCTGTGAGGCTGCAGAACAACTCTGGTTGTATAATGAGAATTCAATTGAATCTGTAACGTCCCAGTAAACTGTGACATTAAACCAGCTAACTTTTGAACTGTGTAACAAGAGAAAGAAGCACAAACAAAAAGAAACAGATAAAAAACATATCAACCAGAACATGAAGAGATTCACAAGCCATGAAATCTGAGAAATTAAAAAGAAGTTTACATTTGATGTAGATCAAATTTTTTCTTTAATAAAAAGCAAAACAAAAAACAAGCCTCTGAAATTACAACAAAAATAAATCTAAATGTTCCTACTTTTTATTTTTAGTAAAAATTCAACAATAAGGAGAGAATGTGTCACTAAAGCTAACATTTCAGCATTTTAAATAAAATAACATTATGACAGCAACATTAATGTAACGCAACTAAATCCACGAGTTAAACGTGATTTTTTTCTCAACTCTTATCTAGAGAAGAGAGGAAGTTGAATAGTAATATTGCTTCCTAAAAAGTTTTCTGTTCTGTTAGAGCAACGGCTAGCTGAGTTTTGTCAGAAATCAGGCTTTGAATGAAAGTTTTTAGTCACTAAAGTTCAACTTTAATGGACTGTGCTTCCCAGCAAGAGCTCTTAAATCCCTCTGTGTGGTGCTGGATTGTCCAGTCTCTCATTTAATAGAAGTTTCACTTGGATTCGTCAAAGGATAAATCACTAGATAAACTTTAATTGAAGGCAATTTTAGTCTTTTGGTTATGTTAAAAGGGTTCAGTGTTTTCAATCAAGATTATTTTTTCACATTATACAAAATATTTATCTATTTTAGACAATAAAGTGAATAACTGCATAGTAAAACAATAATGAAAAGAAAACCTGTCTAACATGAGTGATTATAGGGAGAAATCTCTGTAAATCCTGAACATGTATAATGTCAAATTCAACACTCATTGGAACCTGGAGGGTTACAGTTAAATAGACAGCTATCTCTTTAAAATATTGATAATTTCCTGTAAAAAGCAGCCGGATGACATGCGAACCTCCAAGGACAGACTGCTGAAACTGACTCATTTTTTAGAAAACATAAAGGCTTTGACTCCCTGAAGGATTTGATGAATGATGCATCTTTCTTGTCATATTCATGTTGATGTTTGATTTGACATTTTAAGAAAGCAAATAGTTGACAGAAGAGCTGCGTTTGGCTGATAAGTCAGATAAATTATCCTGTCTTAG